AAATGCTGCTTTAGAGAGCCAGGTGGCTTTCTCTGAGTTCTTGTACTGACTTTCCACTTGGCCTAAGGCATGAATATAGGTATTGCAGGATACATTGTGCACATAGGGCCTTGTCTTGCAAACGGAATTGCTATTCTGTCATCCAAAACAATCCAAGCTACTGAATTGAACTGACACAAATGCCCCTAGGGCCACGGTGGTTGTCATTGATTGCTTTAGCTAGCCAGGGACAAATTGTAAATCTAACTGGATGACTTCCAGTGTAGGAATAATTGCCTCAGAACATATCTAATTAACTTATTAGTTTTCCTGTGGGATCCCTCCACTCCCTCAAGAATAGCCTTCCTTAAACACTTGAAGGTCTCTTATGATCACCTCTAATTACAAGTCACAACATTTTTTGTTACTCCGTGATTTTTACACAGGAAGTACTCCACAGCTGCACTTTCCTTTAGGATTGCTTCTTTAAACAATGCGCTGCCCTGTTTAGAATTGCCCCCTGCTAACTAAAGTTGAGAAGCATAGGATGACAGTTTCTCTAGTGTGCCATCTTGGTTAGCCTTAGGCTTCTCACTTCAGTTCATGTAATTAGTACCTTATTTTGGAGAGTGTACCTGAAGGCAAGCAGTACAATCTGTTCTGTTTTATCTGTGCCACCAGCGAGGTGGCATTCATTTGTCCTTTGGAATGATTGAATGATAGATGTAGGAATGGGGATAGAACAGATACCTGGAGGTATTGATGGGTCTTTTTCACAAGAGAATCAAGGGCTTTTGAGCATCCTCTTGTTCCCAAAAGACTGTTGTATGAAGTTAAGGAAAATAATAGTCAGAGCTGTCTGGCAGGGCTTGGGCAGGTCCCGCCAAGTCAGTTAAATTTAGAATGTTCGAATGGCTTGTGGTAACTGTACTAGAGGATTTTATTTTGTGAAGAAAGCTCCAGGTGTAATCTCAAAGACAGATCCAGTACCTCCTTTTTCTTTACCCTCTGAGATGTATTTCTCCCCTGGGTGCCAAGGTTATTGACTTCCTTTCACAGTCAGAAAATCAGTGCACACTCAGTATTTAAGGCCTGTTGTTGGGAATGGTTAGTTGCAAGAAGAAAAGACATTTTAATTAAACTTATGGTGATCTTTTTATGCCTCCCACTTTGATCCACATGGTACCATCACCACCGGGGGTCATGATGAACAGTGTACTTAACCAAGTGTGCATTGGTAGATATCTTCCCTATCTTCTTTGGAGAAATTGTCTATTTACGTTCTTTATTTTCTCCCCTATTCTCTTGTGGTGCTGGGGATCAGACTCAGGACCCTGTGCACACTGAATACATACTCTACTACTGAGCTGTAATCCAGGTCCTCCTTTGCTCAGTTATGGGTTAAGGGCTTAGGTTTTGTTTTTGTTTGCTTGTTGGTACTAGGTGTCCTGTAGCTCAAGCTCGTCTCTTTCCTCACGTAGCCAAGGAGGATGACTTTGAACTTCTCATGTTCTTGTCTCTGCCTCCTGAGTGTATATGTAGGCAAACACTCTGCCAACCAAACTATATCCCCAACCCTTTCAGTATTTTGAGTTGCCTGTTTTGGGGGTAAGCTTGAGGGCAATTTTATTAGTTTAAAGGAAAAATTTTAAGGCAGGCAAGCTGTAAATGGTGGAAGCTGCCTAGAGGAGGAGAATGGAGAAGTAAAGAAGGGAAAAAAGCAAGCAGCTTGAGTTCCTAAGCTGCTGCATGGCAGCAGGCAACCACATGGCCTAGTTGGGGCTTTAGGGAAGCGGTAGGGAAACTCATGGTGTCAGGGAAAGCACACTTAGAGCAGAGCCAGAGAGATGAAAAAGAAAAGTTACCCTTCACAGTAACTCAGAAAAGCAAGCAGACTTAGGAAGAAGCAAAGTGGCTGAGGTCTGTGAGAGACTATCTTGAGTTGCTTTTTGAAGGAGCTGTTCAATATAAGATGCTTGTGGGTGGAGAATGTAGAAGCTATCAGTCCCTCAGCTAATAGTCCATTGTTGAGTGACTTGTGACTTAAAAGCACATTGTCAGATTGTAAATTGCAGTAAAAAACCTGATACTATCAAAGAGTAGTGTGGCCGATCAGGTGGTTTTTTGTGAATAGCCAATACCAGACCCTGCAAAAGAGTCAACAAGACTGAGGACCAGAGGAAGCGAGAGGAAGGAAGGAAGGCAGCCAAGGTCCTGTGGAGCCAGTCTGCTACTATCATGTAACAGCACTCTTTCCAAGACTCAGTTCTGGGAAGAGGTGGTAGCCTCTGTGTTAGATCATCTGAGATCTACTTTGGTGGTAGGTATGTTGTGTTTGGTATGAAGAGGAATTGGCAGCAATGTACAGTGCAAACTTTGTTTTCATTAGATAATGACTCTTTACTAATGAATGTCTGTATGAATGCCCATGTGGTTCAATCTTCAACTAAAGCCATCTCCACAGTTTGTGAACAGTCTGTGAATTATGTCACTTTTTAAATTATATCATGCTTTAGTTTTTCAAAAGGTAGCTCAAAAAGCTAGGCCATTGGTAATAGGTCAGGACTCAGCAACATAAAAGGATGTTCTCTAGGATAAAGTTCTGCCCACAAGGCAAAGCAACAACATTTATTTTTCAATTCTGTCTCATCTGCACCAAGGTTGAACAGTATGGAAGCCTGTTGGATACCTGTTGGACATTTATAGGCTTTGAGTAGTTGAATCATCACAGGCCCAGGCACTTAGGGAACTTTGGTGTAGGTGGCAGACAGAACAGGGGGAGCAGCCGAGCTTTCATAGGATCCTGAGATGCCGTAGAGGAGAGCCTGGCTACACTATCTCTCTCTGTCCCCCTCAGAACCCAGGGCCTTTGTTTGACATGCTAGGCAAGTGTTCTACCACTAAACTTTATCTCTGTCCTAGCTGCATTCTCAAATACTCCATTTCCTTGTAATAAGAGAAAGTTGTTGGCTTTTCAATCTTGTTTGTTGTTGGACTTCAATAGACATCCTAAATTAAGGATCTTTTCAACATGGGAATGCTTAGTAGTCGTGTCAGGGAGGCGTTGAATTCCAATTATAGCCACTGCAGTGGAGAGCCCTCCTACAGAGAGACTTGTACTGAAAGGGGCCGTAGTGTAAAGCGTTAAAGCCACTAGTGCATCTCTACATGGGCTGTTTAGTAGCCATAGACTTGATGACCGTTCACAGTATAGCATGTATAATACAGACAACCACTATGTGTCTTCAGCAGTGAAGACTACAGTGGTAGATATTAAATGGCTTCCAAAGGCTCTACCAAGAAAAAGAGCTCATTAGCTTCCCTTCCCCACTGAGAACTCCACTCAGAGCAGCAATCGCCCCCTGAAGGCGTTGCTGTTCTCTATCCAGTAGTGCCACACAGTTTTGAACAGGTCCCCAAAGTAATTTATACTAGTTTGAAGTGACATTTCTAATTATTTTTCTCTTTAAAGTGGCTGAGGGACGGTGATTGAGGTGAGAGTTAGTAGGGTGAGGGTGATATTGGGAGGGAACAGCTTTGTACCAGTTCTCAGAAGCCATTTCCTTTCTGTGTTGGATGGTGTGGTGACTTCATGCTGTAAGGGAAGCTGTTATTTTTTGGTCCACCCAAAGGCCCATATACTGTGCAAGACCCAGGTCAGCAGCTAGAGTCATACCACTTTTTGGCAGAGGCAATAAGGTTTTGCATCCTTTCATTGACTTGGACTCAATCTGTGTGTAGTATCATTGTTTTTAAAAGTCTATCTTAATGTTGCTTATTGAGCATGCATAGGGTAGCATCTCTAAAATTCTTGATGAAAACCAGATGTGGTGGTTAATACTTAGAATTGGCCAAGGAAGGAGGATTGCCTTAAGATTGAGGACAATATCGGCTGTTTATGGTACTCTGCCTTTAAAACACAGAATAGAAAATTTCTTGATTTTTAGTAGAAGAGTTAGAGCTGACATTAAGAATTTTCTAGATTCTTTGATCTAGTTTCTTAGGTTCCAGTTACCTTCACCAGCATTTTGATACCTGTCTGTAATAATAAAAGCCCACAGACTGGTCAATATACCACTCAGGAGACAGGTGGATCTTTGTGAATTTGAGGCCAGCCTGGTCTGCATAGCAGGCTCCAGGCTTAGCGGGGCTAGGTAGTAAGCCAGTGTCTCACCTAAACACAACAAAGATAAAGAGAATGTGTTGCCCAGTTAGGCATCATTTCCTCTTCAATGCTAGGAATTAAACCCAGGGCCTTGTCTATGCTGGAAACCACTGAGCCCTTCCCAGCCTGCTGTCCAGTTTGTGAAGTTTGATGACTAAATGAAAATTGTAAATGTATTTTTATTTGCTGAGGTACTCAGGGCCTTGTACATGCTGGCAAGTGAGTTATATCCTAGCTCCTCCACAAATGTTTTACTTTAAAAACAGTTCCATAGGCTCCTACTGGGTAAGATGAACCAGACAGGTATGTAGGAGACTTGCTGATAACTATAACCTTTGCTGTTTAAGTTTTTTCCTTTCACGTTGTCTGCACTGTGCAGTTCTTTCTGCCTTCAATAATTTCCATATTTGCCTCTTACACTCCTGTTTCTCTTTTAAAACCTGTCAATCTGTAAAGCCTTTAAGTGAAGCCTTGCACTGCACACATTTACATTAATTCAAGTAACTTGTGCGTGCCACTACAGCACTTATATCATTGCACTGTAATCACTGATTTGTTGTTGTTGTTGTTGTATCTGTTAGTAAAGTAAAAGTGACCAAGCAGACATCCTCTCTCCTTCCACACATTACAGGTTTCTAGGAGACAATTTTCCTCCAACAGTTGCTTTAGAAAATCTATTAAGTATTTCCTGATTTGAACCTTAAGGAAATTAATTTACCTAATTTTGAAGGAAGAGACATACTCATTAGAAAATAGGTACAAGACACAGTCCCATGGTCCAATGCATATGGACAGCATATATATTATCTACTATACCAAATAATATTTTCTTGCTCTATTTAAATTTAAAATATAGACTGTGGATATTCATAAAGAAAAAGTGGCTCGAAGAGAGATTGGTATTTTGACAACAAATAAGAATACATCAAGAACTCACAAAATAATAGCACCTGCAAATATGGAGCGCCCTGTCAGGTATATTCGGAAACCTATCGACTACACAGTTCTGGATGATGTGGGCCATGGCGTTAAGGTAAGCATTTTGTATTACTTAAGTGTGAATTACTTTGAATTTTCAATAAATATTTTGGATAGAAATTGTGATAGGATTTTCTTATTTGATAGATTCCCTTTAACTAGCAGTATTATAATTTTCATAGAAAATTTATTTATTTTAAAGATGTAAGTGTATAAATGTTTTGATTGTATATGTATATGTGTACTACATGCATGTCTGGTGCCTTCAGGGGTCAGATGAGGGCACTGGATCCTTTAGAGCCTCTAGAAATGATTTGTGGATAGTTGTAAGCCACTAATGTGGATGCTAGGAAGTGAACCTGGGTCCTCTGCAAGAGCACCCAGTGCTCTTAATCACTGAGCCATCCCTCTAGCCCTTGAGAAAATTAATTTCATATGAGTTACATGTTTGACTAAGCTTGGAGTAGAATTTAATCCACAGAATAGGCACTACTTGGAAAAACTTAAAAACTTGAAAAAGCTGGGCTGCTAGGATGGCTTAGCAGGTAAAGGCACTTGCCACTAAACCTTTTGACCTGAGTTCTGTTCTTAGAACCTTTATGGTGGATAGAGAAAACAGACTCCCCAAAGTTTTCCTTTGATCTCCTCCATACACAGTGCTGTTACTTGTACCACAAACAACAACAACAACAACAACAACAACAGGCCAAACAAACACACAACTTGAAAAAGCCATTCTTTAAATCATAGATTATGATTGGTTTAGAAAATAAATTGTAAATAATTTGGCCTTTTATTCCTAAATGTTTGTGTACCCTATGTGGTTTTCTTTTTAACTATTAAAAAATGCAAACATTAAAACACTTTTTAAAAAAGTGCTTATCATAGTAAGATAATATTACCCCAATTTTTACTAATCAGTTTTAAGTATATACTTCTGAAATATAATCACATTGCTTTGGTAACTAAATGTTTTAGACCAAGACTTAAGAAGGGTGGGTGGCCAGTGAGAACAGTATATTTTAGAAACTGGCATGTGTTGGTAGAGTGCTTGCCCAGCATGAGTACAACCCTGGATTTGAGCCCCAGTAGTACAGTGGTGGTACAGTATTGTAGTCCCTAGCACTTGTATCATGAGGCAGGGGCATTAGAAATAGAGAAGCTCAAGATCATCCTTGCTCACATAGTAAATTTGAGGTTAGTCTGATAGACGTGAAACCAATCTGAAGCTGATAGATGTCACATTTATCTGTATACATACAAAATGCACACAATTACTTTTTTCCGGCCTTATTACTGTTTTATTTTTTTGGTTTTATGACTTCTGTAAGAGTTTTCATACTCTTATCTTTTTTCCTACAGGACTATAGATATGTGTGAAATTAGGAAATAATACCATAGTTGGGTGTGGCAGGTGCATCTCCGAGTTCAAGGCTAGCCTGTTCTAGTGAGTGAGTTTCAGGCTATCCAGGGTTATGTAGTGAGACCTTGTCTCAGAAGAAATACTACTAGTACCAGGAGGCAGAAGGAACAGGATGACCACAAGCTTAAAGGCTAGCCTGGTCTGCACAGTGTTCTGGGTCAGCTGGGCCACACAGTGAGACTGTCTCAAACAAACAAAAAACCTGACCAACCCATCCCCTTATTTATTTTTATTTATTTATTTATTTATGTTTTTTTTTTTTTTTTTTCTTCTTCCGTGACAGGGTTTCTCTGTGTAGCTTTGCTTTGCGCCTTTTCTGGAGCTCACTCTTTAGCCCAGGCTGGCCTTGAACTCACAGAGATCCACCTGCCTCTGCCTCCCGAGTGCTGGGATTAAAGGCATGCGCCACCACGGCCCAGCTGGGAAGAGGTCTTAAATACAGGCTTACAGCACAATGGGAGAACCCTGGAGGGCAGAAGTTTGCTATGGATGTTTTACAATCTTGTATCTAAGCTGTTAACACCCATTATGTAGGATACACAGACAAAGAACTTCCCTTAAGCATTCAGGAGGTTGAAACTCGGGAGGGAATTAGCATAGGGAGGATATCAAGGTCAGCAAGCAAGGCAACAGTTACCCAAAACGGGCGGGGGGGGGGGTGGGGGGTGGGGGGGGGTGGGGGTGGGGGGGAGGCAGGGCCCTACAGGTCCCCCTTTTACTAATAAATGAGCTTCTGACTTAGGTTGTGTGCGACGTCAGCAGGTTACCTTACCCATCATGGACACGCCTGTCCAGGCCACACAGGCGCTCTGTCTTAGGTTGGTGAGCGCCCCCCCAGGAATTACCTGTCTTTGAATACTCATTATCATACAGGCTCAATCATGTGTGAGCTGCAGAGTTAACTGTTACCAAAGATCTCAAAGTGGCGCTTGCAAACTTGTGTGTTCGACACAGAAAAGACCAGCAGAAGTCCTAACCCACCCATAGCCAGTAGCCAGAGATCCGCCTGCCTCTGCCTCTCGAGTGCTGGGATTAAAGACGTGCGCCACCACTGCCCTGCGTAGCTACCACATTTTATATCCAAGATTTTCATGCTCTTAAGATTAATATTCCATCTTATTTGTAATACAAATTTTAGTGTTTTGGAATTTGTGTATTCTATACTTGGGCTTCATTTAAATAGATTATGCACATTTAAATAGCATTTAAATATTTAATACATTCATTCTGAAAAGTATATGGTTTCTATAATTTTTTTTAGGAGTTTAAAATAAAAATAAACTCAGGAAATCTGGCTAGATTTTTGGGAAACAGAATAAGATACTGATAGGAGGAACCCAGTATGCAGAACCTGCCAGAGTATGCACATGGAGAACATAAAAGACCATTTTGCAAACAGGTACTGCATTTCCAAATGAGCATAGGAAGGAAGGCTTGAATACTTAGTAGAGAAATTTAGAATTAATTTTGGTAAGCATAACAACGAACAGATTTTTAAATTAGTTTGTAACTTACAGAGGAATGTCTGTTGTATATGTTTAGTGCCTATGTGAAGATCATAGGTGAAGATCAAGAAAATAAGACAGAGACATTTTATTGGTTATAATCAGTTGCTGTTTTCTAAGGTAAAGTCTCTAAGGTTAACTATGGGTTTCTGGTCAGTTATGGAGTTCCGTTTTAGTTTGCTTTGTAGGAATCCAGAACACCAGGGCTGCTCAGCTTTAATGGTCTCTAAATTATTAGTTCTTTTAAATTTTTTTTTCCGGACTTATTTTTTTATCTTGAATGTTTTTGCCTGTATTGTACCATGTGTGTAGATTGCATGTGTGCTACATATATGTAGCACTTGTGCATACTGTGCATGTGTGTATGTGTGCGTGTGTGTGCGTGCGTGTGTGTGTGTGTGTGTGTGTGTGTGTGTGTGTGTGCGCGTGCGTGCGTGCGTGCGTGCGTGCGTGTGTGTGTGTGTGTGTGTGTGTGTGTACACGTATGTACTGTGTATACCACATGTGTGTGTTTGGTCCCTCTGGAGATCAGAAGAGAACAGAGATTGGGTGGTGGTGGCACATGCCTTTAATCCCAGGCAGGCGGATCTCTGTGAGTTCAAGGCTAGCCTGGGTTACAGAGTGAGTTCCAGGAAAGGCACAAAGCTACACAGAGAAACCCTGTCTCCAAAAACTTCAAAAAAAAAAGCAGAATAGGACAGAGATAACAGTCAGTTGTGAACTACTGTAAATGTGGGTGATGGGAACTGAACTCTAGGGCTTCTGCAAGGGCAGCAAGAGCTCTTAACGACTGAACTCTCTCTAGCCTACCTCTTCTGATTTTACTATTTTTAACAGTATAATATCTATGGAGGGTGTTACTTTGAAAAGCTTCAATTTTATTAAGATGAGTGAGAGCCAGAAAGAATTGGTCTCATTGTCATTTGACAATTACTGTAGAAAAATAGAGTGTACTCAGAGAAAATTCTATTGCTGCTTTTAACTTCATATTCCAGGTAAATAGTGAAATTACTCATTCATAATTTTAAATGTGCAGAGGAAGAGAGATCTTAAGGATACAAAAGTCTTATTCTGTTTATGTTTGGTTTGGGAATATTTAAGTAGACATTCCATATACAGTATTGTTAGTTGCTAGCAGGTATATTTGAGCTTTAAGAGTCAGAGATGGGGGGCTGGAGAGATGGCTCAATGGTTAAGAGCACAGACTGCTCTTACAGAGGCCTGGGTTTCAGTTCCCAGCACTCACATGGCAGCTCACACCTATCTGTAACTCCCAAGATCTGATATCCTCACACAGACATACATAGAGGCAAAACAACAATGCACATAAAATAAGAATAAATAAATTACTTAAAAAAAAAGAGTCAGAGATGAATTTTACAACATTCTCATTTGGAGCACGTTTACATTACATAAACTGTTCAACAGAGGAAGCTGAGCTTGAACAAAAGTTGAAAGTTACACAGTTGTGTAGTGAGTGGCAGGGTTATATAAAAGACTCATTTCCCATTTAATTTTGTTGTTCCTTCGTCTGGGAACAGATTACATATAAATGCTGAGCTTTTTTGTTTTTGTCTGTATTCTTTCAGTAAAAAGAAATGAAAATGTGTACTTAGAATACTTCTATGCACAATTATATAAGACACAGTGCATACACGGTAAATAGTCATCATACATATAGATTATGTAGTACACTAGTATATCTTATCAAGGATCTTATTTAAATGTATTATTTCACACCCAGGTGTGTGATGTGGTGATTAGGTAGGTTTCCAGACAGTGTTCCCAGGTGACAGTGAGGAACACTATTTTTTTTTTTTTTTGGTTTTTCGAGGCAGGGTTTCTCTGTGTAGCTTTGCGCCTTTCCTGGAACTCGCTTTGGAGACCAGGCTGGCCTCGAACTCACAGAGATCCGCCTGGCTCTGCCTCCCGAGTGCTGGGATTAAAGGCGTGCGCCACCACCGCCCGGCTGAGGAACACTATTTTAAACAATGAGGATCACCAAAGTTCTAGCAGTGATCCTGCTAGATTGGAAGATACTGAATTTTTTGCATAAGATTTTATTTGGTGTTGCCTTTGAGGTCATCTGAAAAATGGCAGATACTTGTGGGAACACCAGATGTTATTGATAGAAATCAAAATCTTAAAACTTTATAGACAAACTATAGAAACAGGATTTTTTTCTTAATGGCATGGTTTAAGGATTGGCACTGTAGAATCAAGCACATTGTTACAGGTGTGCTAGCTGGTCGTCTCTCACAGGTTAAGGTAGCTTTTCTTTCATTTTGATTTTTTGTTTTGCTTCGTTTTGTTTTTCAAGACAGGGTTTCTCTGTGTAGCTTTGGCGCCTTTCCTGGAACTCACTCTGTAGCCCAGGCTGGCCTCGAACTCACAGAGATCCACCTGGCTTTGCCTCCCGAGTGCTGGGATTAAAGGCGTGCACCATCACTGCCCGGCCCTCATTTTGAATTTTGACTGAACTTTTCAGTAAAAACATGGCAACAAGCTTCCTAGTAGTGTAGGCTTGCTCAAGACTTACATAGTCTAGAAATGTGTTTCCAGAATATTCATTCTTCAGTTAGAATTTGGCCAAGCTACTAGTAGATGATTTCATTTCTATAGTTTTGTTTTTAAATGTTTTTATTCTTTGTCAGTTTTATACATACACATATATTATCTTATTCATAACACACCACCCATATTTTTGTTTTTATTTTTGAGATAGGCTGTCTTGTATCCCAAACTGGCCTCAAACTTGCTTTGTAGCTGCACCAACCTCCCAAATTCTAGGTTTTCAGGAGTATACCACCATCCCTGAGCTATGTGATGCTGAGAATGAAACCCAGCATTTGCTGCTCGCTCTACAAACTCTCCCAACTGAGCTACATTCCCAAGCTTTAGTTGGGGCGTCATTATTTCATTTTTTTTTTTTTTTTTGGTTTTTCGAGACAGGGTTTCTCTGTGTAGCTTTGTGCCTTTCCTGGAACTCACTTGGTAGCCCAGGCTGGCCTCGAACTCACAGAGATCCACCTGGCTCTGCCTCCCGAATGCTGGGATTAAAGGTGTGCGCCACCACCACCCGGCCTCATTATTTCATTTTTAAACACTGAGATGTATTAGGCCACATCATTTTCTGAATTTGAAAGCAAATTGTGAGTTTTTATTTTATTTTGAGACAGAGTCTTACTTTGTAGCTCTGGTTGGCTTGGAACTCTCTCCATCGACCAGGCTGGCTTTGAATGCAGCGATCCGCTAGTCCCTGCCTCCCAAGAGCTGGAATTAAAGGCACCATACCCAGCTCCACCTCAAGCCCTCTTTATTCTATATTTTTAAAAAATTACAACTGTTTGGCCATTAGCTCAGGCTTATTACTGTCTAGCTCTTACACTTAAATTAATCCATAATTCTTATCTATGTTTAGCCACATGGCTTGGTAACTTTTCTCAGTTCTGCCTTCACAGCTTGCTTCCTTTGTGGCTGGCTGGCGACTCCTGACTCAGCCTTCCTCTTCCCAGAATTCTCTTTGTCTGCTTATCCTCCCTATACTTCCTGCCTGGCAACTGGCCAATCAGCATTTTACTTATCAGCCAATCAGAGCAACATACATTCACAGCACACAGAACATTCCACAGCACTTCCCCTTTTCTGTCTAATCAAAAAGGAAGGCTTTAACATAGTAAAATTACATATAATAGATCAGTTATCAAGCAAAAATTACAGTTATAATATCTAGTCTATTTGTATTTGACAAAATTAAAGAAATTAAAGAAAATATTTTATCTATCCTATATTTGTGAGTCTAAAGTTTCATATCTAAGTTATCTTTTATCATAACCAAGGAAAATTGTAACTGTCTAGTCTTTAACTCCATCAAAGACCTCAGAAGGATATACTATTACCTAAGTAAACAGGAAGAACATTGTCAGCAACTTCCCATAATCTAGAATGACAGAGAGAGCTGGCTGCCTGGACAGTCACCCAAAGGTCTTCTGCAAATTTGGGGCATCCATTTTTCAGCCCACAGGCCTAGAGTCTCTCAGTCAGTTTCTCTCTGTGTCCTGTAGAATGTCTGCAAGCCCTCTTTAAAAGCAGTATGCGCTCTTAATATCTGAGTAATGTTTAACCATATGTTCATTAGTTATTTACTTTAATATTTTTTGTGGTATTAGGGTTTAATTTAGAGACTTCCACATATTAAACTACTTTTGAGCTAGCTATACCTAGCCTTAAACTGTGATTTCAAATTTTAGTATTCAAGGTTTATATTTTTATAGTATAATACTACCACTCAAATAATGACTTGGGCTTTCATTATCCAATAAAGTCTTAGATCTTGTATACTAATAATTAAAATAGCTTTATATATCGTCTGTATTATTATAGTTTAAGTCATATTAAAAATATTTTTATTTTTAATTATGCATATATGTGTGTATAGGGGTGTGTGCACATGAGTGTAGTGCCTGTGGAGGCCAGAAGAGGGCATTTGACCCCTTGTCACCGGAATTACAGGCAGAAGCCATCCCATACTTTTAACTGCTGAGATGCCTTTCCAGCTCCCAGTCATGTGTAATTCAATTGGATTAGATGCATGGGTTAAATGCTGACCTAAGAAATGTTGAGGCCTACTTGTGATTGGCTTAATTAGTTGGTAGTTTCCTTAGAAAGTAACTTGTTTTTAAAAGTGCAAGTAGGTTAGACCTGGTGACAAAAGCCTGCAATCCCAGCTACCTGGAAGGCTGAGGCAAGACAATCATAAACTCAAGTCTTGTCTGGGCCACAAAGTCAGTTCAACCCCAGTCTGGGAAACTTGGTGGCTGGATGTAGCTCATTGGTAGAGTGCTTGACTAGTATGTGTGCAGTCCTGAGTTCAGTTCCCAGTACTGTGGGAAAATAAGTGTAACATACAAATATTTCCCTAGTTCCTATAGATACTTTTCTTTTACAGTGTATATGAAATATGGCTGGATAAAGCTTGTTAACATAAATTCAGTAATAAAAATGTCAACCTGTCCTGTCAGATACAACTTACCTAGAATTAATTTCTACTTTTTCCCCTCTTTTTTGTTTTTGCCAACATAAAGTGGCTAAAAGCCAAGGTAAGACACATTACTTATCATTTGATCCACAGTACTTCCTCTATGTTGACAGAGGCTGCAGAGCCACTAAAATGTGAAAACTCTTATGTCTGTCTGCTTTTTCCTGTAGGATTTACATAGATTAAATATGCTCAAATTTAGATCAAATCAGTGTTTAGCTTGGCTGTGTTAATATATCCAAGATATATTGACGTTTGCACTTTAGGAACATTAATCTTGCTAACAGTTACTGCTTTGCTCATGTTTTTACAGTTGCTTTGCTTCCATTGACTTAGAGTTAGGTTTCCCAGACGTCATATGTGATTTTGTTGCTGAATTATTAGGATAAAAATTATACTTGAGACGAGTATTTTAGCAGATTGACAGCTTTGTGGTTTACATTTATGAAATATAAATGTTTATTCAAGCATTTTAATGATCCTAATTCTTGAATATAGATAAGTTTGATATCAGTGAATATGTCTGACAATAAAATATAAAATCTAGTAGTCTCACCTGTATTTTGCATAAGTTGATAGAGTAGCACAAAATGATGGGGAGAACTGAATGCAGGTGGCTTTTGAACTTTTAAAATATAATACCAAACTGTATTAGTACTGTCTGGGAATCCTTACTTCACATTCTGATATTAAAGAAAAGACATCATGTTAAAACATCAAGAGAACAAGTTGATACAAAAATAAAATCTTTCATTCCACATTTTAGCACGGAAATAACCAGCCTGCAAGAACTGGCACATTGTCGAGAACAAATCCTCCCACGCAGAAACCACCAAGCCCTCCTGTGTCAGGCCGAGGAACTTTGGGGTATGAATTCAACTGCATTCTACAAAGAATTCCGGAGCCCTAAGTGCATGCTTCCTTGTTTTGTGTTCTCTCTGGTGGTACTACCCTTTCCATTCATTTATTTTGTGAGTGTGTGCATGTGTGTAGGGAGGTCAGAGAACAGCTTGTAAGGCCTGTGGGTCCTGTGATGACACTCTGGGTGTCAGCTTGGCAGGATACCATCACTTTCTGAACCATCTTGCTGGCTGAGACTGATGTTGATTCTTCCTTCCCTAAGCAGGATCTAAAACCAGTCTGCTTGCTTTATAACCTGTGTGTATGCATGTGTGTGTTTAATGTATACATAGGCGTACATGCATGAGTGCATGTGCATATGTGGAGCCCCAAGGACAACCTCAGGTTTTACTCTCAGGAAAGCTGCCCACTTACTTTAAGTTAAAGACAGGATTTCTTATTAGCCTGAAGCTCACCAATGAGGCTAGATTGGCTGAGTAGTAAGCTAGATTGCTTGTTTCCAACTCCTTAGCTTTGGGATTGTGGGTGCCACCATGCCAGGTATTAATAATCTTTTGTGTATGTGTAAATGAGTATCATTTTTTGTTTGTGCATTTAAAAATTGTAAATCTGCTTTCCATTTTATTTTTAAATGGATTAACCAGAGAGTTCCTTTTGGTGCCTCCCCGTGTGTTTATGGCCCTTTGAAAAGTGGTGTGCTTTGTGTAGTTTTCCTTAGTCTCCATCTCCTGCTTCTCTTGTTCCATGGCATCTTACCCTGAAGACCACTCAGGTGGCTCTTGGTGCACCAGCTGGTCACAGGCCTCTTCACACCAGAGTAGCTTTGGAAAGCTGCAAAAGATAGTGGTAACTTCTTGTCCCCGGTCTTGGTACTAATTGTATCAATATTTTCCAAGATGTTTCTGAAAGATTAGTTACTTGGAAATACCATATTAAATTTCTTGCTTTTGTGGAGGGGATCAGTTAGTAGCCAACTTTTCTTAGTTGTTGTTTTTTGTCCTCCTCCCCCCGAAAGGCTTATGAGTGACAAAGCTAGGTCTAATGTATTTTATTATTATATATTATTAATCATTAAAAAGATTATAACCAACATTTTTAGTGATATTAGAACTTTAAATGACCCTTTTCCAATAATTTTCCCAAGAAAGCAATAAATTTTAATTTTTATGTTAAGACAGCAAAGTTTATGTCACAGTTAAAGTTTTTGTTTATATTACTATTAAAAATTTTTCTGAGCCGGGCGGTGGTGGCGCACGCCTTTAATCCCAGCACTCGGGAGGCAGAGCCAGGCGGATCTCTGTGAGTTCGAGGCCAGCCTGGTCTCCAAAGCGAGTTCCAGGAAAGGCGCAAAGCTACACAGAGAAACCCTGTCTCGAAAAACCAAAAAAAAAAAAAAAAAATTCTGTTAGTATTAGAGAAAGAGAGAGTCAATGTGTATAAATTGTGCTATACACTTTTTAGAGGTCAGAGAGCAGCTCTGTGTGTGTGTGTGTGTGTGTGTGTTCCCATGTGCAAATCAATGGGTTCTAGGGATTGGACTAAGGTCTCTAGGCTTGGGTGACAAGCACCTTTACCCTCTGAACCATCTTGCCAGTCTTAACTTTCTTTAAATTAAAATAGGAAAAAAAATTCTGTTATAGTTAATTCAGATAGAGATTGCTGTAAATTTCGGAGGGTGCTATTTTGTTTCTCTTATTCATTATCTATTTGTTCATTCTTCCTCTTTAGACGGAATACCCCTTACAAAACGTTAGAGCCCGTTAAGCCTCCAACAGTTCCTAATGACTACATGACTAGTCCTGCGAGACTTGGAAGCCAGCATAGTCCAGGCAGGACAGCTTCTTTAAATCAGAGACCAAGGACACATAGGTAAGACTTCTGTCTGAACATTTGAACTCTTGAGAGTGTATGCTTTGACTGGTAAGTGATGATTTTTAAAGCCGCAGCACACAAATGAGGTACGACTTTAATGCTGATAGTGAGTGTAAAAGGTGAGATCATTCTTCTTCATATTTCTGATCCATCAAATTTCAGTTTTTCTTTTGAGTTTGTTTTCATTTGTGTATACTATTAGTAGGATATATTTCCTCTTTTTGACAGACACAAGTACATATTGGGATTAAAACTAAAGACTTTTTAGAGGCTGAAGATGTAGCTAAGATGGCATAGTGCTTGTCTACCATACAGGAAGTTCTAGATTTGATCCCCTGCACCACATAAGCAGGCGTGATGAAGTACGTCTGTAATCCTAGCACTTGGAGACAGGAGGATATGAAGTTCAGGGTCATCCTCAGCTACATAGTGAATTTGAGGCCAGTTGGGATACATGAGGCAATGTCTCAAAAAGCAGAACCAAACAAAAAACCCGGATAGAGCTTAAATTTTTTTTTGCTCTCTTAAATTTGCATATAAGGTATCCTTATGACATTTATCCTTATGACATTTTGGAACAAAGTGTGACCCCTCATCATCCCCATCCCCCTGACACAAGGATGATTTTTTTAATACATCTTTAAATGTCCTAAGGCCGGGTTAGGGTTTATATAGCTCAGTGGTAGGCTATATCTTTAGTATGTATGAGGCTCCTGGGTTCGTTTCCTAGGAACTCCTGCCCATTAAAAAGGGCACAGGGCAAATACTCTTCAATGCTTTTAGGCAAAGGGTTAAATGCCATAGAAGTTACATGACATATCGAATTCTTTGGAAGATTCCTGTCGGAGGAGGAACACTTAGCTTGTTTCTGAAAAAGATTTCTGAACAGAGTTGGTAAACTAGGCTATGTTAAAGTGGCGCACGCCTTTAATCCCAGCACTCGGGAGGCAGAGCCAGGCGGATCTCTGTGAGTTCGAGGCCAGCCTGGACTACCAAGTGAGTTCCAGGAAAGGCGCAAAGCTACACAGAGAAACCCTGTCTCGAAAAACCAAAAAAAAAAAAAAAATCCTTTAGAAAGTAGCTGCCCAAAGTGCTTTATGAAGTACCTAGCTTGGTTTATGTATGTCGCTGCTGAATTACAGGGTCAAAGTATGGTTTTTCCAAAGTGGAGGTAGTATTAGTTTAATCTTATTCAACCACTAGTTATTTAGAATGACTTTTATTAAATGCCGGTCAGAAGCAAATAAAACATAGTATTGTTATTTTTTCCAGAAGCTCATTGTGTTGAAATACGAACATCTGTTTTAAAATATATTTCTAGAACGTCATTATGTCAGGGTTTATGGGTTCTTTAATCACTGTTGCAGATGTAGTGCCATGGCAGCCATAGATAGTCTGTAAATGGATGAGCATGACTATGGTCTAGTACAATTTTACTTACGGTACTTAAATTTGAATTTCATATAACCTTAATGTTTTGCAAATTAGCTTTCCTCTTTTGAGTTTTTTCCAACTATTTAGGAAAAAAAGTTAGCTCATAGGCAAAAATTGGGCTGTTGTCCAGTTTTAGCCCACAGGGTGTAATTTGCCAACTCCTATCCTTATGTTAGATAAGAAGCACTGAAGTCAGGAATTGTGGAAGAGCTGAAGTGGACAAATAATCCTAGGTCTGATACAAAGTTGAGTATTGAGCTCCTGGCTTGAATGAGTTGAGAATTTCATATTTAAGCTAGTTTGTTCTGTCAGTGGCTTTTTTTATACCTTTTATTACAATGTGATATTCTAATTATAAATTGATCATATTGGAGAATAAAATAGTCTTACCCAGGCACTGTAATTCTTTGCCTTGTTGGGTTTGTGGGCATATTGAACAAATAATATTGCTTTTAAAATACAGTGTGAACCAGGTGCTGTGGTGTGTACTTCGAAGGTGGTAGCTTGAGATTAGAAGTTTGGAGCTAGCCTGGGCAACATAGTGAGGGACTGGTGTGCTAGACAGTAATTAGTCTCAGCTAGAAGGACAGACCTTTGGCCCCAAGAGAAGTTTATCAGTAGCAGCTATTGTAGTCAGTGAAACCTGACTACATTTAAACTTTGTTCTGTTCTTGCTGTGTTAGGCTCATTGTCTTACTCACTGTTCTATTGCTGTGAAGACACCATGATCGCGGCAGCCCTTATAAAGGAAGACATTTAATTGAGGCTTGCTAAAAGTTTCAGAGGTTTTATCAGCATGGCATCAAACAGGCAGACATGTGCTGAGAAGGAGCTGAAAGTTCTCTATCTTGATTTGTTGGCAGCAGGAAGAGACAGATACTGAGTCTGGCTTGGGCTTTTGAAACCTCAAAGTCTACTCACAGTGACACACTTCCTCCAACAAGGCTGTCACCTAATCCTTCTCAAGCAGTGCCACTCCCTGATGACTAAGCATTCAAATATGTGTGCCTGTGGGGGCCATTTTTACTCAAACCACCACACTCGTTTTCCAGAAAATTCCTTAGAACCTTTCTTCAGTTTGCTTTTCTATATTATATTTTGTTTTGTTTGTCAGTTTCTTTGTTTGCTTGCGTTTGAGGCAAGATCTCACTATATAGCCCTGGCTGGCCTGGAACTTGCTATGTAGACCAGGCCTCAAACTCAAACTCATAGAGACCCACCTGCCTCTGCCTTCCCAGTCCTGGGTTTAAAGGCGTGCGCCTGTGTGTCCCGCTTGTTTATTGTTTTGAAACCTGGCTTTGCTGTAGAGTGCAGACTGACTTAGAAGTTAAGATACCCTTCCTCAGCCTCCTGAGTGCAGGGTTCCAGGTGTGTGCCACCATGTCTGTTTCACTTTTCTCTGAGATCGGGAGAGATTTCATGTCTTGTACATTCCTTTTTGTATTATCTGTCACACTGAATTTTGAGTCTGTGTTCTCATGTTCAGTTTTGTGGTGGTATGGTTCACTGTTGTTTCTGAGGAAGAAGGAGAGGGAGACAAGCCTCACTGTGTACTCCAGGTGGCTTCAGACTTAGAGCCTGTAGCTGTAGCCAGTGATAAAAGCTGTGTGCCACCGCAACAGGCTCTTTGTTGTTAATCACATCAGGCTTTAAATAGACACTTGTCGGGGTTGGGGATTTAGCTCAGTGGTAGAGCACTTGCCTAGCAAGCACAAGGTCCTGGGTTTGGTCCTCAGCTCCGGAAAATTAAAAACAAAAACAAAACGAAAAAATAAAATAAAATAAATAGACACTTGTCACTCACTGTACTGTGAGATTGTAATGCTCATACAACTCTTCAAGATTATTACCACATTAAGGCAAGGTCTCATTATGTAGCCCTGACTGGCCTTGAACTCACAAAGATCCACCTGTATCTGCCTTCAAAGTGCTGGGATTAAAGGCCAGGTCGGGTTTTTGAGTCCGGGTTTTGTATAGGTTGGTTTCAGAGTTTTAGAAGAACAGTGAAACATGAGCACAGTTGTAAGTAGTAGGGTAAAGGTTTATAACCAAGTTAAAATGAATGTATAGTAGCTCCAGTTTATGATGACGTTTTTTAAAAATCAGTCATTAAAAATGATTTTCCAAATGCCTCTCTTCTTTGTAGTGGAAGCAGTGGAGGAAGTGGAAGTCGAGAAAACAGTGGGAGCAGTAGTATTGGCATTCCCATCGCTGTGCCCACGCCTTCGCCTCCCACTGCTGGCCCAGGTATGTTGTCTAGTACCCTCCGGTTTAGTCTGTGCTATTTGTTAACTTCATAGGGAATCTAAAATAAGTTAATCATAGTGGATAAAAGTTATTTATTAGATTGTGATTATAGCTATAATAAAGGCTAATAACGTATTTTTAGATTAATTTTCACAAAGTTGTTGGGGTCTTACCAGCTGTAAGTGTATGACAGAGAAATAGTTTTGTTAGGTCAGTTTTGGGCCATTTTGCTTTTAGTATTACTTGTCTTTGTGAATAGTTAAGATTGAGGTTTATTATTTCAAAAGCAAGTCAATATTATATGATATTTCATTCAGAAGGTCAGTGTTGCTAAACTAATGTATTTGTGACTTTCCTAATTTATGTATGAGATTCATCACCTATTTTAGTGAAATGCAGCGACTATAAGATGAGATTTAAAAATAGGAAAATTTATTTTACCTTTTTAGAAAGTATATAAATTTAACATATTCTGGGAGAACGTTCAGTTGACCCTTTGGAATTTAGTCAGTGAAATGGAGACTTTTTTGAGATAGGTTATTTCTGTGTAGTCTAGGCTGTCCAGAAAGGAAGACTTTTACAGTATTTAAAAAAAAAAAACATTTGAAAGATAAAGCATAGTGAAAAAATAATTAGAAGAAAATATTCTTAGTTTTTCAAATACATTGTTTAAGGAGAATGATCTAGTTATAAAAACAGGCTCATTTTTTGGTATTGCATTTCTAAACTCAAAGGCCTTTTTACCTAGTAAAATTCTTATTCATTTGAATGTGTTTTGCATATGGATGTTTCTTTTTCTCTTTGTCTTCTTTCCAGTATGTTGCATTTCCCTGCCATTTTGGAATGCTTAATTCTGTTTTCTTATACTCTGACCTGAATCATAAACCGTTCATTGGAACGCATTTCTGTCTTGATTCCCTCTGGAACCCTACTTCTCCTAGTGAGCACTGTGGAGGGTGAGACTGCATAGGCCTCAGGGAGCCGCTACATGACACTTTGCATATTTGCAGTAAGCTCCTGTAGCCGATAGATTGCAAATTTTTAACAGTTATTCGATTGTAGATGATAATGCTAAGGTTAAAGAATTAAGTCTAATATTAATGTCTTCTAGTGAAAGACCTTTGAAGTTAACAGTGCTCTTGACTGCAATACACAATGGTCCTATAACAAACTTAATGGGGTTTTTATTTGCTATTTATTTAGATTGAGGAAAACTAGCAGTTATTGTTCAAAAATTATTTTAAAATAACAGTGTCACTGATGTCCTTTCAGTGCATGAGACATATTTGGAACTCTCTTATATATTCAGGCAATCAGGCCTGGGGTGAAGGTGGAGACAGGAAGTGGAACATGGAAAGGAAATTGTAGTGTGATACAGGGGGTACTCTGATGCTGTCCTTTGGATCATACTTTGAAAACTTTTGATGCAGCCTAGGTTTTAAGATAGCTGAGGATGCTATGAAATAACTCTCTTGCCGGGCAGTGGTGGCGCATGCCTTTAATCCCAGCACTCGGGAGGCAGAGGTAGGCGGATCTCTTGAGTTCGAGGCCAGCCTGGTCTACAGAGTGAGATCCAGGACAGGCACCAAAACAACGCAGAGAAACCCTGTCTCGGAAAGAAAAAAAAAAAGAAATAACTCTCTTAATAGGATGAATTCAAATTGTTTTCTACTTGGGAAGGACTAGACTGAGTTATAAAGATTTCTACATTCTGTAGTTGGTTTTCTTTACTCTTTGCTCTTTGACTCTTTGGGGGCCTGCCACCCAGCTCCCAAATCAATACACAGAAACTTATTCTTACTTAGGAATACCCTGCCTTAGCTTGGCTTCTTTCTAGCCGCTTTTCTTAAATTATCCTGTCTACCTTTTATCTCTGGGCTTTTAACTTTCTCTATTCTATATACCCTTCTTTACTTCTTACTGGCTGTGTGGTTGGGTAGCTGGCTCCTGGTGTCCTCTCTGCTTCTTCTCTCGCTCCCCCGTTCTTCTTTCTCCTCTTCTTTATTCTGTCTGCCTGCCAGCCCTGCCTGTTTCTCTCTCTATTGGCTGTTCAGCTCTTTATTAGACCAATCAGGTGTATTAGACAGGCAAAGTAACACAGCTTTATAGAACAAATGCAGCATAAAAGAATACAGCATATCCGCCTCATTAAATAAATGTTCCATAGCATAGACAAATGTAACACATCTTAAACTAATATTCTACAACAACATTCAATTTTGAAGTGCACAATAATCTGGATAGGAATAATGAGGTGTTCTTTATGAGAACTGAATTTCAATTTAGGTAAAATAAACTGACAACATTTTCACTTTTTTTCCCCCAAAACATTTACATATACCAAGGGAAAAGCATAGAGGTGGGAGCGGGAAGGAGATAATTTAAAAAAAAAAATGTGATTGGAGATAGCATTGAAAGAAAAAGTCTTTGTAAAAATAAAATTCTTTCAGCCTACTTAATAACTGGAACATGATCATTGAAGCCACAATGAGATGCTATTTTTATGATCACTGGATAAGTAAAAACGAGGATGTCTCTATGTACCAATCTGGGTGGAGAGCAGACATTTCTGGTGGAGTTTGTTGATGTGCTCACTTTACAAAATTCTGTTGTTACCTAGTAATGTTAAACCAACATTTACTCCATTTTATCAGTTTCAGTTCTAGATATTAACATTAGAGTACCAGTTCTCAAAATATTAGTTCTTAAAAAGAGTTCTCCAAGATTTTTGAGGTCAAAGCTTTCTTCATTGTTTAATTTTTTCATTCTGTTAGAGTTTTTTTTTCTAGAGGCTCCATGAAGTCATCACTTTGATGGCTAATGCAATATGACTTGCATATTAATGCATCTTACAGCTGTACCACTTTGAATTAAAATATGGTCATTATATAGGTGCAAACCACTCCAAGGATAGCTTGTGGGGGTCTTCTAATTTTTCATTTTTAAGAGTGGACGTTTGCAAACCACTTATTTAGAGCAGTAGGCCCGACCAGTCGTTATCATGGAGGAAGGAGGTAGAGATCTCAGTCCTCGGACCCTATCCTAGACCTACTTAGTTAAAACTCTGAAGACGGGACCCAGAAGTCTTCCTTACAACAAGCCTTCAAGAGGAAACCTACCATCAGGGCTGAAGTTCACGAACAGTTGGCCTAGGGAAATTCAGGAACTGTATTTAGCAGTGTTCATTCATAAGGAAGAATATTTTTTAGTTGTGTTAAGAATAGCACCTCAATACAATGTTTAATAACAGTAATTATTAGCAGTTGTTAAAAAATCAGAAAAATATACTTGACTGACAGTTTATACTGTTTATTACTTAACCTGGATTATTTAGCTAGATAGAATTTTGAATCAAATTCTGAAACTCCTGGCTGTGGAAAGGAAGTTGTTTATGAAGCAGTTATGAATGACCTACAGCTAATAACTTTTATATCAGGCTATCTGTAGTACTAATTTTGTTGGAGAAAGTTTACGTATAAAACTCTATATAGTTGTTCTTTGTTTCCTCAGATGATTCTTGGACACCCCCACCTCCAGTAAATACAAAATTCGTAGATGTTCAAGTTCTTTATCAAAAATGGCATGATGCCTGAAGGCAGCTTACACATAGACTCCTTATTATATTTTAAATTATCTCTAGGTTACTTATCATACCAATATAATGTAAATGGTCTGAATAGTTGTTATTGTGCATTGTTTAGGTAACATTCTGAAATGCACATGCAGATTACATGTAATATTAGCGAAATAGCATTTGGGATTGTGCTTTTGCCAAAGGTTTAATAATAATGCACCATGTTCACTTTTGTAGCTCTTCACTCTGGCTGTTTCCCTTGTTTATAAACTTTAGAAGTAGAGCTAATTGAATTTCATTATCCTTTTTCTTTATTTTGTGCTGCGGGCTTTACAAAGTAATAAGAACCCCCACCCCTTTGTTCTGCCACTTTGGGTGTTTATAATGCTTTGTTGGTTGCCTTTAACTAATGCTTTTCAGCAGCCCCTGGCTCAGCTCCTGGTTCCCAGTATGGCACAATGACCAGGCAGATTTCTCGACACAACTCTACCACTTCTTCGACATCTTCTGGTGGATATAGACGAACTCCCTCTGTGACTGCCCCATTCTCTGCTCAGCCTCATGTTAATGGAGGTCCACTTTATTCTCAAAATTCAAGTAAGCTTGTGTTTTGCAGGCATACAGAAATAGTGGAGCTCCTTTTGAAGGAAATTATTTGAAACTGTTATTCTTAACTGTGATAGACAACAATTTAAGCCATACTATTTCATGCTTATTTTTGTTTTTTGTTTTTTTTGAATGTTAATCATTGAATAACCATCTTAAAAGCAACTGTTTATCACTTACTCTCCAAGGTTCACTTGAATATACTTAATCTAGCCAAATTCAATAAATGCTTTAATGCACTATTATTATTACAGTATAATTTGAACTAGAGAACAAAACAATCTAAAATTTTATGGGCATGATTTTGATGGTTCAATAATGATACAAAGACACCAACATAGTCAAAGATTTTTAAAAAAATAATAAAAAGAAATTGCTGGCTATCACTTCTAAGGTTGTGGGCTTCTTTTGAAATGCTTTCAATTGAAAACATTTACAATGCCTGCTTACTTTCTCTGTCTGAATAATTCTAATGGATGGGAAGGATCTTTTGATTTCCTCTGTTCCCTTCAAATTGCACATCCCAATACTAATTACAGCCAGTGTTTAAAAACATAGAGTTAGAAAGTAGACATAGAATTAGAATGAAAAGGTTTGAATATCTGAGGATAGTTACTGAGTTCACTTTCCATGTTAAGATGCTAAATCCAAAAAGGAAACTATTTGAAATAAGCCTGTTGTGCAGTATTTATTTTTGCCATGAAGTTAGTGGGTATTGACCAACAGATTTTTCTATGGCAGCTTTTTTTCTCTTTTAGGTGTTTCTAGAACTGAATGTCCTATAAAAAGAATGGTGACTACTCTGTATTTACATGGGATTTTGCTTGGTTCTTTTTGTTCGTGTTATGTGTGTGGTTTTTGTTTTGTTTTTCTTTTAGCAAGGCCTTCCTTTGTAGCCCTAACTGGCCTGGTGCTGCCCATCGTATACTGGCCTTGAACTTGCAGCCCTCTTGCTGTTGGGCTGACAAACAAGCACCACCATGCCTGACTTAAGTAGAACCTGTGGTCTTTGTTTACATTTTTGAGTTACAGAGTGATTGGATTACAGCAAATTGAAAAGTGCTTTCGCATAAATGTCTGTATTCACAGAGAACCCCAGGTTTATGCAACCTTTTTCCAGACTAGAATTTTCATTCAGGCTACTAAGAAATATAAAACTATTAGCTGATCTTTTACTTCACACTCCCCTTGGTGTCCTGTTGGGTTTGAATGGTAGTTTAGTGTCTAAATAGATCACAAATCAATCATTTATCACTAGGTTTTTGTTGTTGTTTTGCTTTTTTTGAGACAGGCTGTCCTAGAACTTTCTATGTATATCAGGCTGACCCTGGATTCAGAGATATACCTACCTGTTTCCTGAGGCCTGGGATCAAAGGCATGGGCCTCATAACAAATTGTTTGTTTATCCCACCAGTTTCATGAATTTCTTTCCATGTTCTGCTTTTTTAGATCACATCCTTATGTTCACCCTCCATACACACACTTTGTTTTTTAATTTATTCTGCAAATAGGGTTTTCATTTCACCAATCCAGGCTTGACTAGTTTCACAAATGTTTGTGGGACTGTTCCTTAGTGAATATCTGTATTTCTTTTGAAAGTGGAAAGCAAGCTTGGCTTCAGGTGTTGAGTGTATTTTGTTTATACACTTGTCCTTCAGTATGAGCTGCTGGTGTAGTTTGACTGGTGTGTTTAGTGTTGTGATGTGCACATTTTTCTCTCGTGTAGATGTGCTGGTGATGAGCATCTTCAGAGCATATCTTGTCTTTGTCCTCCCACTACTAACAAGCATGACTAGCCGTTAAGGGTTCTTCTAAAAATTATTTGGCTAATGGGAGGCTCTTGGTTGTTTTTGTTGTTTTAAAACCAATACCCTCTAACCCTTTAACAAGTCTTCTCTGTAACAGAATGAAAGAAGACTAGTTTCTGTTAGTGAACTGAATGCTATTTTTAGATATGTTGGACTTTTAGTGCATATATATATATATATATCACTAATTTTGAACTTGGAACCTCTTTCATATTTTTATACTTACCAACAAAATTTGTATCCTGCATTAGATGAAAATTATTTTGATATAATGATCTTGGGAACCAATAATGTTGTTTTTCTTGGTTAATATAGCATCACTTGTTGGTGACCACTACTAAGCCGGATCTTTCCATTTAAACCTGTTGACTTTTAGAGTCATCTTTAGCAGTTACTGTCGTGTTAAAATGAGACAAAGTAGTAAACATGAGTCTTTGCTTCTAGTTTGTGTCAATCTTTCACACATTTGTTAGCCACATGAACATTTGATATCAATTTCCTATAAAGTATCTCCTGAAAAAGGTTACATTTTTCAAACCAGCCAATGTCTCATTAGAAATTAATATAATGCAAATAATTGTATATTTTGACTGATTAGAGATTGTTTCCTTTTTCAGTATCCATAAAAAGACCATCTTTGATAACTTCCCTTGAGAAACTGAATAATCACAGGGTACATGGAACATTCTTGTCCCTTAGTAAGTTTAGGGCTGATTTCTTACAAATAAAGCTGCCAACTTAAAATGTAACAATAATCATATTTTGTAAGCAAGAGTGTTTCCCAGAAAGGTGTTTAAATTTAGATAAGAACCTTCTTTAAAGGAAATTTGTGATTAATGTATTGATTTATCTATGTATTTATACAAGTGGTCAAGAGCTGTTACACATTTATTTGGTTCAGATTTGCAGCATTACCTCAAAGCTAGACAAATCTGTTAGTATATAGAGTTACAGCAAAAAACAGAATTCTAGAAGGCTCTATAGGTATTTAATTGTGACATATTATAGAAGTATTTCTTTAGAATTTGAAAAACATTGTGCCAAAATAAATGTTATAGTAAATTAAAAAGTTCCCCATATAATGTAATGCTAGGTTAAAATAAGTGTATTTGTTTCTTTATGCTCTTACCCATGTGGCTGAGCACAGCTTGGCCCTAGATTCTGTGGGGAAAGACCTTGAAGGAGACCGCAGGGTTTGTTTGTTTGTTTTGGTTTTGTTCGTTTTCATTTGCAACTGTTCTTGGCATACTTATTTGTGTTTGTGGTCCTGGTAACTGACTTCTGCTTTTTGTTTGTTCCTTTTCTTTCTTTATGTTTTATTCCCCATACTGTGTCTTCTGCCAGTTTCTATTGCCCCCCCTCCTCCCCCTATGCCTCAGTTGACTCCACAGATACCTCTCACAGGCTTCGTGGCCAGGGTGCAGGAAAACAGTAAGTCTGCAAACCCAGCTGGCAGAGATTAGAGGCTGTCTCCTCTAGCATGCATGGCTGCTGAGTCACCATTTTCCTCCTCCTTACTGAGAAGCTAATCTTACCTTGAAGAATAGGTACAGATGTGTGTTACTGAAACTGAAGAGCACGGGCTTCAGTTCTTTCCTCTTGTGTGCATGACTACTGACCCATATCAGTTTCAGAACTTCAGTTTTCTTAAGTATTTAGGCGATCTAAGACATGAGATCTGTTATTTGCATATTTTCAAGCAAAGACTATTGAAACACAAGAATGCAAATTCCTAATAGTCATTGGGAGAATTAGAAAACATTTTGCAGCTGAGTATGGTGGTGCATGCCTGTAATCCTAAACCCTTAGGAGGCCGAGGTAGGAGATCTTTGTGTGTTGGAGGACACTGTGGGCTAGTATATAGTAAGACTCTGTCTTTGAAAAAATAAAGAAGCCAAAACAACAACAAAAATGTGTACTCTTAACAGATTTGTCAAGATATAATTACACTATACTTTTATCAGGAAATTGAAACAGGGCCCCTAACCCCCTCCTTTATAGCACACTATTTGAGAAACTGCCAGTGAGGTGGTTCAGTGGTTAAAGACCCTAGTCATCAAGCATGGTAATCTGAATTCAATCCTTCGAACCCACACAGTGGAAGGAGAGAACTTACTCCTGTAAGTTGTTCTCTGATTTCCACACATACACAAAACAAAAAATGTGAAAAATTAGAGAGTGATTGTAGATTCTGATCTATGTGAAACTTCATTATTAAGAATGAATCCTGGGGGCTGGAGATGCTCAGTGGTCAAGAGCACTTGTTGCTCTTGCAGAGGACCCTGGTTCAGTTCCCAGCACTCACGTGGTGATTCAAAACAGTCGAACTCTAGTTCTAGAGGATTCAATGCTGTGGACTCTGCGCTCATGTTATACACATAGCATAAATGTAGGCAAAACACTCATATACATAAAATTATTAAAACCCTGAGTCTCCAAGAATAAGTGAATCACATGCATTTTGTCTGTCTGAAGGACTGACAAGGAAGTTGGAGTCTGCCTCATGCCCTGGCCAGTGAGTGAGTGAATCACATGCCATAGATAAACAGACCTGTCTCTTTTCTTAAAGTATGATCTTAGTGAAGACTAGGGTCAATAACTTAGGTTGAATATTTTTAATATGTATATTGATCTAGGTAGACTATATCATTGCTGATTACCTTTGAGGTTAACAGAAGATTCTGCATGTCCAGAGTGAATATTGTGTGGCAAATGAGAAGTACAATTGCCAAATTATTCAATATCCAACATTGAAATTAAGATAGTATTTAGTTCTAATTTACTTCATTTGGGATCTCCCTTCAAATAAATTTCAGAATTATTTGAGTAGTGAGCAACCTACTTGAGCAGCCCATGTATCAGGACAATACATTTGTTGCAAATTCTGTCAGCTTTTGCTGACTCTTACATTGCTTCTCTCATTCCCTCTCTTCCAGTCTTTATTCAGTGTTACATGCTAGGCTCTGGTAAGGATAAAAACAGTTTAAGACAAAGTCTCCTCCTTCATGAGATATATAAGGAGCTTATTGGAAATGTAGATTTGGAATTTTGAAATTTCTGAGTGCAAGCCTTCTTCTTATTACGTTCAGTTTGAAAATCCTGTGTTCAGATATTTAAAATTAAGTGGATCTTGGGTGTTTAACAATAAGTGACAAGGGTGACTTACTAGTCACTGTTGCTTTTTTCCCCATTTTTGATGCTCTTGGCAATTGTACCCAGTTGTGCGTGCTAGGTCAGCTGCGCTTTGAGACTGAATAACATTCTCAGTTCCTGGGTTTTGGAGTGGCTCACATGTGTCATTCAGGCTGGCTTGCAGTAGAGTCCCTTCTGCCTCAGCTCCTGAGTAATGGGATGGCAGGTATGCTCATCATACCCAGCGATACTACTGTTTCGTGATGCTAAAACAGTTTAGCAACTAAAGCTATCAGAGATTGAAAATGCCAGTTCATCTTTTTTTTTTTTTTTTGGTTTTTCGAGACAGGGTTTCTCTGTGTAGCTTTGCGCCTCTCATGGATCTCACTTGGTAGCCCAGGCTGGCCTCGAACTCACAGAGATCCGCCTGGCTCTGCCTCCCGAGTGCTGGGATTAAAGGCGTGCGCCACCACCGCCCGGCTCCAGTTCATCTTTTTGCATTGCTCCATTATGAAGAATTGCTAGGAAATAATTTTAGTAATTTTGAACTTTTTGGGTCTAGAGATCATTGACTAACTGGTAACTGGAAAGAACAGAAATTAGTATTCATGTGCGTTATTGCCAACGAGACACCTCAGCACAACTATTTTTGTTCTTTTTAACAAACACATGATGTTGGGTTGTTATTCTCACACCACTGATATTCAAGTTTATTTCTATTGTGTATCTGCACTTTAAATATTTTATGAAGTGCAAATATTTTATGTGCTTTCAAACACCTCTGGGGCTCAGAGGAAGTGATAGTAAAGGCACGTAGCTTTTAACCTAATCTGGTTTAAGATAGGAGCCCTGATGACTTAGGCCTTTTATTATTAACACCAGAAGGCCTTTTGGACCAAATATGAATAGTGTTAGGTCAAGTATTAGGGCAGAAAGTTCGATTGACCAGACTTTTTCCCTAAAATTAAAGATAAGCCAGTGTACACTTAATGACAGTTGAGTGGAAATCTTAAATGAGTACATTGTAAAAATGAAGAGTGACAACAATTTAGGAAATCCAGCAAACATGCATTGTATACAGTAAGCCAAATGAAGGATATGTACTGTGGCTATTTGATGGCAGGATGGGTTCATACCCCTTCTCTTCCTCCACACCAGAAAGCTCTGTGGAGGAGGTAGGTATAGGCAGAAGTAAAGTGGATCAGTGCATGTGGTAGACAACCCAACTGTAGACTTGTTAGATGCTGTGAGTGAGCATCACCACATAGAGTTTATTTTTATTATCTTTTTCATCTCAAGGATAAAAGTGGAAATCATAGAATTGAAGTAGTAATGAAGTGGGACTGTTCTTTGCATGCTTTACGACTGGGTCTTTTGGTTATATATATTATCAACATATCCTGTCAGGAAGAATAACCTTTAAAACCTACATCAGTTATATAAGAATGTTTCCCTTCCTTCCTTTCTTCTCTTTCTCTTTTTTTATTTAGGGAAAAAAAAAAATCCCAAGAGCCTTTTTGTGTAGCTATGGATGGCATAGAATTAGCTGTATAGACCAGGTTGGCCTTGAACTCACAGAGATCCACTAGCTTCTACTTTCCAAGTGCTGGGATTAAAGACATGCACCACCTTGCCTGATTTTTTTCCCCTCCCTTAAACTTTTAAAAGGAATTTTGGAGTAGAAGGTTGAGCGTTAGTTGTATTAGCTTTGAATTTCTAATCCTAGAAGCATTGGTGGCCAGTAAGTGCAATTCTAGTTCCACACACCCATGCCACTGTTAACACCTTACTTTTTAAATCATGTGTACACACACACCGTAGCCATCTAGAATCTGAAGTGTGATTCATTTTTATTGTTTATTTATTTTTGTTTCTTTTAAAATTACTACATCTTCAACATTTTGTGTTTAAATTTTAATTGTGTGTAAGTTAGAAAATTGGATCTTTAGGATCTGGTCTCATCTCATGATTGTTTTATCAGCTGTGATGAAAAATCTTAGTTTCTTTTCTACATTAAATTTTGATTATGAATATAACCAAGTCTTTTAAAAATATTTAATGCATTTTTCTAGTTGGGAATTATTTTTTGTTGTTTTTATTAAAATTTAAATAAGAATAGAAAACAAACAAACAAAACCTTACACAAAGATGCAAACCTAATACTACAAACTTGGCTTTTCTATTAAAAAAATAAATAAAAAATATGTCCACTTGAGATGTAGTTTCTAGGGCACTAAAGCTATTAAAAGCCAAAATCGAGGACATGAATATATGTAGTAAAAACGATCACACCTCTAATGTAAGATACTTAACGGTGTTCCAAATGACAGAGTTCCTTAGGCCACCAGGCCTGGTGGAACATTTGTTTTGACCTGAGTCTTAAGATAAGGAAACTTCTTTACTCCTGTAATTTTTATGAAAGTAGATACTGTATCCTAACCTCTTGCATTCATTAATTTGTAGTATTTATTGTGCTTATTTTAGCTCATTTTATTATTGCAGAATCATGCTTAAAAGCTGTAAAAACTTTAACACACCCAGCTTTTATTTCTAATCACTGCATGTTTTATATTAGTGCATGCTGTATGAGTTAGAATTCTGTTAAGTTCTGTTAATTTAAAGCTTTCATTTAGATTAATTACTTGTGTGAATCCTTTTAGTTGCTGATAGCCCAACTCCACCACCACCTCCTCCACCGGATGACATTCCCATGTTTGATGACTCTCCACCTCCACCGCCTCCTCCTCCGGTGGACTATGAAGATGAGGAAGCTGCCGTCGTTCAGTATAGTGACCCATATGCGGATGGGGATCCTGCATGGGCTCCCAAGAACTATATTGAGAAAGGTGAGGTACTGCTATCATGGACTGATTGGAAGGCAGTAACCCAATTACAGAGTTTTATTACTGTTAAAAAAGAGCTCATCCACACCGGGCGGTGGTGGCGCACGCCTTCAGTCCCAGCACTCAGGAGGCAGAGGCAGGTGGATCTCTGTGAGTTTGAGGCCAGCCTGGTCTACAGAGCAAGTTCCAGGACAGGCTCCAAAGCTACACAGAGAAACCCTGTCTTGAAAAAGAAAATAGAAAGAAAAAAAAAATTGATCTTATCCAGTGTTTCTTATCTGTCTTACCAGTCAGGATGGCTTCTCTTAGCTTCCTGAGCTTGCTTTCTTATTGCGTCCAGGACCACCTGCCCAGGAGGTACCACCCATCATGAGCTGTGGTCACCCACATCAATCACCAGTCAAGAAAATGCACCACAGACTTACAGGCCAGACTTAGGGATGCATTTTCTCAATTAAGATTCTCTTTCCAGATACGTTCCTAGCTTGTGTAAATTAACATGGAACAGTGAGTATATTTAAAGTAATAGCCACTTTTGTAATGACAAGATACTGAAACCTGTTTAATTTGGATCAACAGTTTATGACATGACTATTCCAAAAGCCTTGTTCTTACTCAGATTTAACCTAATGTATGCTGATGTGATCCTATTCTCTGTATTAAACTAATAGATTTAAATTCTAGAGAGCTTTATAGTACAGAAGGGAGAGTTTGACCCTATATTTTGATTAGATCCTGGAGAATAGAGTCAATATCAAGTTAGTATTGGTGGTTAAGTATCGATAAGAGAAATTCTATGAGGGAGTATATACATTGAGATAAGACTGTTAGAGAGGAACCCTTGAAAACTGTGGTTCAGTACCTCTCTGAGCCATTTGCATAAGAAGATCTAAGAAGATGAGATTGTTTTTTTCTGCTCAAAGACTTGAGTGCTTTGGGCTTTTGTCGTCAGTTTCAAGTCAGTCTATAGCACCGAATCTCACCTCCTGTGACTCTAGATACGACAAGTATTACCAAAGTTAAATTAGTTACAGAGCTTTTCTTCATTAATAATTGTTAATCCCTTGCAATCACTTGATCCTTTTAGTTTGTTATTTAGCCAGAGATATTTGATAGTATGTGTATTTTTAAGCTATGATAAGCTATTGTGATTATAATCACTATACTGTGATTTTGCTGTAGAACTAAAATGGAAGGAAATGCGCCTGTTGGATCCGCTTACTACAGTGTTTTGTAAGGATAAAAGACTGCCTATTTAACTTGATAAATGATGGCAATCGATCAGTACTTAATCTTTCCCCATTTCACTAATTTAGAGTTAGCAAAGGAGACAGGCTATCTTTCTTAGGGTAAAAATATGAGCATCATAAATGCTTAAAAAATTACTTATTTAAAAAAAACTGCTAAGAATAAATGAAGTTAAATGTAAAAATCACATAAATTACCATTCACATATAGTAGAAAATTGCATGTAATTTTAGAATTGTTATAAAAATGGGTTTAAGGAAATATTTAAATTCCCAGAACAGTAGTATAGAAAGTGGTGCATGTAAGTTGCTTTCCCTTTCTACAACTGGAAAGGAAGAATATTTTGAACTTTGTGTCACACTTTCTGGGTTTTCCCTTACTTTGCCATCTTTAATAAAAAAAACTTTTCAAGTGAGGAGACTTTTGTTTTTTCTTTTTTTCTTTCTTTTTTTTTTTTGTATTTTGAGACAGGGTTTCTCTGTGTAGTTTTGGTGCCTGTCCTGGATCTCACTCTGTAGCCCAGGCTAGCCTTGACTCACAGAAATCTGCCTGCCTCTGCCTCTAGAGGCGTGTACTACCACCACCCGGCTTTGTTTTTGTTTTTGTTTTTTTTAAACCTGAGTATATCACCATCAATTAGCATGAAATTTTGAATAAGTAGATTTATAAATGTGTGGTATAGTCAAAATAAACATAGAGTTGTTGAAAGTGTGAGACCAGTCTAAGCTAAATAGTGAGATCTTGTCTCAGAAAACCAAAACTAAAACCACCTAAAATTTAAAATTATTACTTCATTTATTTTATGGGGGAGGGACACATGCCGTAGTCAGTGTATGGAGATCAGAGGACAACTAACAGTTCTCTTGTGCCATGTAGCACTCTAGGGATCAAATTCAGGTCATCTTGCTGGCCCTTAGGTGTTTCTTAAGAGATTTAGAACCCAGTGCCTTCTTTAGTGTGATCATACTGTCAGTGTGATCAGTGTGGTTAGGGATTCAGGGACTTGGTTGGCCACTTACTTAAAGTGGTAGGAAAGTGAAGTCCAGCCAGGCGGTGGTGGTGCACACCTTTGCTTCCAGCACTTGGGAGGCAGAGGCAAGCGAATGTCTGTGAGTTCCAGGACAGTCAAGGCTACACAGAGACACCCTGTCTTGAAAAACAAAAATAAAGTCCTCATAAAAATACTTGGTTTTCCTATACTATTTAGATTTGTCATTACATTTTAAAATTCAAGTAAATGTTGGAGATAGTACTCTCATGTCATACTTTGTTTTTTCCCACAGTTGTTGCAATATACGATTATACAAAAGACAAGGATGATGAGCTGTCCTTTAAAGAGGGCGCAATCATCTATGTCATCAAGAAGAACGATGACGGCTGGTTTGAAGGAGTTTGCAATCGAGTGACTGGACTTTTCCCTGGGAACTATGTTGAATCAATCATGCACTATACCGATTAGTTTTTTTTTCTTTTGTTTTCTTTTCATGTAGGTTATTACTCCGTCATACCGTGGGACTATATGGTTAACAGAATTGTTTTAATGTTTAAAATGTGCCCATATTTTCAGGACATAATGTTTTATTGGTATATTTGGATGTCTACCTGTAAGCATACATTTTGGAGGCAGTTCACATATTGCTGAACAGCAATTTATACCAGAGACTGCCTGTAATTGATTATGCATATGTACTCACACCTTGATAACTTTATGACCAGCCTAAATATTCTGGGGATGTGGGTTATTATGTTTAACAAATCATGGTTCAGAATGCATCATTTCATGTTTCAGTGCAGCATGGTCACTAACATTATGTCAGACTAATAGGAAAAACAAAACTGAAATGCTGGTGCTGGTCATACTTTTGGTTTAAATTCTCATTTTTAAAGAATACTGTGTTTAAAGCATGCAAATTTTATGTATTGAAAGATACTTAACAATTCAAGATGCTTCCAATTTGTGTAACATTTATCTGGAGTACTCATACTTGAGTCTCTAAGTTCTTCATGTGAAATGAAAGATTATCTGTAATGTTGTAATTTGTATCTAAGTTTTTTAATGAGTGAAATTTGCATTATAAATTTTTCCATTCATAAATACATAAGTGAACCAAAGGATTTTGTCCTCTCCTTTACTGGTTTGCTTTAAACATGTGTGCTTGTGCATATGTATGCACACACAATCCCAACACAAAAGATTTATTGCAGAATTATGGTTCTATTTTCTCAGTGTAGTAGCTTGGAAATATTTTAGCTTTATCTCAATGTGTCTGAACAACAGTGTGACAGAATTTTGCAGATTTTGTGTCAAAGTAAGCACATCATCCCCTAAGTAAAAATCCGAAGGGATGCCACACCAGTCCTGTGGTTTTAATGAAAATGAATTTACACTGGTTCAATGAAAGGAAAATCTTTTACGTATTGTAAAAGTGAATGCAATTAATTTGTCCTTAGGTATATTTAATCCACTACCTGGCACTAATAGCAACATAAAATTTTACAATTGGGAAAGAAAGTAGGCCATGTATTAATCTGTAAACAGGTAATAAGCAGGTTTGTATTGTAACTGAAATGCAACACATGCACTTTGTGTGTCTCCTGGATTTAAGGGAGGGTTAGAGGGATCCTTCTGTTGTATATAATTCTATACTGCTTAGGATATTAAAGTAGGTCACACAGTGTGGGTTTCTATGTATTGAGGATTACAGACTTAGGACAGCATAGTAAATGGTGAGGAGATCAGTGCAAAATATTCTGAAAACTAAAGACCATTGTTCCTACCAAATCATCAACTATTTCATATATATTTTACCTTTGTTATTTTTGAAGTATTATGTCATTAGTGATCAGATAGCTATATTATGCCTTTTCTTTTTGAAGCAGAATGTTTTCTTAATTTGTAAATAACCTGTTGTCTAAATTTTATCTACAGTCTTTTATAATAAACTATGCTCCTATATGAAAAAATTTGGATATTGTTAAAATATAACTAATATGGATTGAAATTTAAGTACAGACTTCAAAATTCTCTGACCTTTAATCCTATGATGAAACAAAGACAAACCACTTGAATTTTAACGTTGATTATTTATTTGTGTAATGGCTTTCCATGTGGGCATTAACAGTGTAAACAGTACCACACATAACCATCAGGATACCTCGATTAGAATTTATAGGACAATAATGACACTGGTTTAATTACATTTAAAAAGTTTTCTGAAAAACTTTGCCAATAAAAAAAATTGCCCATCAATAAGGTTGAAATTATTTCCTAAAGTGATTTTTGGTTATCTGCACATGAAGCAAACAATGTTTCACAAAATTCATGAGGCACAGTCTGGTAAAATAGCTGCCAGAAAGAGCAGAAAGAACTGTCATTTATCTCTTGTGAGCACACTTTCTGAGAGCTGAATGAGGGCGTCCCTTTCTGTGGATGGCCTGAGTTTCCTGATCTCTCTCACTGCTTCGTGGCAGTACCGCTGGGCGAGGTAGGTGGTTTGCTGCACACCATCACTCTGCAGGAGACAAGAGGACAGACAGATCACTGAGGAGCTCCAGGAATGCTGCCACGATAGATTAAACCACAGTTTGAGATTAGATGAGCTATAGTGAATAATCATACTATGTCTTGAAGTTGTCTTTTCAGAAAATGGCTGTTGCTTCTATTTTCTTTCCATCCTTTTGGATATGGAAACACACTTCAGTTGTTAGCACACAGACGTCAACTCTGTTAAGCAGCTAGCCATTTTCTGTTACTTGTACCTGAAGCATTAAAAGTTTCAAAAAGTTCTACCTATATAAAACCTTCCTGTTTTAAATGAAAACCCAAAGGGCTTGTGATGAAAATGCCTTTCATATTGGAAACGATACAGCTCTTCCTTGGTGTTTCCTAATCTAATCATTATCACTGTCTTCAGTCCTGTGGATTACCTTTGCCATCATGCCATCATCATCCTCGCCCTCTCTGTGCCATTTAAAGATCGTTACATTCTGGAACTGGATTTATTTTCTCTGATATATTTACTGTGGAATTAAGTTGTATAATAAAATACTTCCTTTTCCATGATTCTCTTATATTTTTGGTTGTGAGCCTAGCCTTTAATGGCTGAGCCATATCTCTAGCCCTTCTCCACGGATCTCAGTCACTGTTATTTAGAATACAGCTTTCCTCGTATATGGTTGAAAAACTGCTCAAAACATGAGCATAGTTTTCTGTGCCACTTTGCAAAGAAGCATGTTTTCGCTTCCTTGGTGTTGCAACACATCTTGCTTACATACCTGTGCAAATAACCTACTTCAAAGGGTATTTGAGAAACTTTATTTTCTTTGAGACAAGATGTCATGTAGCCCTGGCTGGCCTAGAGCTTAACTATATAGATCAGGCTGGCCTCAAACTTACAGAGATCCAACTGTTCTTTGCCTTCCAAGTGCTAGGATTAAAGGTATGCACTTTTATTCTCTACGTGTCACTTCAGCTTGCCTGAACCTATATTGACTAATTTAACTCAGTAAAGAACTCCAGGTTTAAGATGACTACTTGGATGACCATTTAGAAGGCCTTGCTCCACTGTCTTCTGGCATTCAGTTTGTTTTTTTTTGCAGAGCCAGTTTTGCTTTTTTTTGTTTTTGTTTTTCGAGACAGGGTTTCCCTGTGTAGCTTTGCACCTTTCCTGGAACTCACTCTGTAGCCCAGGCTGGCCTCGAATTCAGAGATCCACCTGGCTCTGCCTCCTGAGTGCTGGGATTAAAGGTGTGTGCCACCACTGTCGGTTTAAAGATTCATTTATTTATTATGTACACAGAAGAGGGCACCAGATCTCATTACAGATGGTTATGAGCCACCATGTGGGTGCTGGGAATTGAACTCAGGACCTCTGGAAGAGCAGTTGGTGCTCTTAATCTCTGAGCCATCTCTCCAGCCGCAGAACCAATTTTGATATCTTTGCCATTTGTTGTGACTACTTTGTAGATTGTCGTCTTAAAATATCTGTTACATTATGGCGCTCTCATACATACATGTTATTACACTTTGTTCTTACTGATCCCTCCTGCTGTTGTAACCAATCACCATTTGTTACTGGTCCTTTTTCTCAATGTTGTTACCCTTTGCTGCTTTTATATAAATGAATCCCATTAACTCTTTCTCCGCCACTTAAGATCTTTTTTCTTCTTTTCTTCTTTTATGATCTACACATGTACAAAGTCTAGTGTCTGTTCATGAGAAATATTTTTTTGAGACTTATTTTACCTAACATAATGATCTCTAGTTCTGTCCGTTTTCCTGTTAATATAATTTAATTTTTAAATATTTTTAAAAATTATGTGTATGCCTGTATGTGGGGTATATACATGTTGAGTATAGGCATCATGTAGGCTAGAAGAGGGTGTCTGAGCTCCTGGACCTGGAGTCACAGGCAGTTGAGCTAGCTACCAGACATAGGTGCTATGAACCAAATACATGTCCTTGAAGAACAGAAAGCTATCTCTCCAGCTCTGACTTCATTTTTCCTTATGGCTGGATAAACTTCCATTGTGCACACGTATCACATTTTCTTTATTCATAAGTTTGTGCAGAGCTAGGTTACTTCCATCTTAGCTACAGTGAACAGTCCAGCAGTAACCATGAACTGTAAGTATATTTGATTATAGGCTGTCTTAAGAGTCCATAAGATGTATACGGAGTGGTACAGCTATGCCATATGGTAGTTCTCTGCACCGATTTCCATAGTGGCTACATGAGTCTGTATTCCGTTAATAGTAAATAACAGTTCCCTTTACCCTGCACCCTCCTCAGCGTTTATTACTATTATTATTTTTGAGACAGGGTTTCTCTGTGTAGCTGTGCGTCTTTTCTGAACTCACTCTGTAGACCAGGCGGGCTGCGAACTCATAGAGATCCGCTTGCCTCTGCCTCCAGAGTGCTGGGATTAAAGGCGTTCACCACCACTGCCCGGCTTGTTTGTTTTCTTGATCACAGCCATTCTGATGTTGGGCAAGATGGAATCTCAATTTTAACGTGCATTTCCCTCATTGCTAAGAATGCTGAACACATTTTCAAATACTTACTGGCCATTTGTATTTCTTTTGAGAATCATCTGTTTAGTTCATTAGCCTACTTAGTGAATGCTTAAATTAGTGTTTACTTTTTGGAGTTCTCTATATATTTTGAGTATTAAATATACAGTCTGTATAGTTGGTAATTTTTTTTTTATTGTGCATGCCCTCTGTTGCTCATGCACAAATGACTCCCATTTGTCAGCCAGTTCTTGGGATTATTTTCTGTTTTGTTTGAGTCAGATAATGGGCTGGAAATGAGATGCTCAGTGGTGGAGCACTTGCTAACATGCAAAGCTCTGTTTAGTACCTGGCACCGGGGAATTTAAAAAAAGTCTTGTTTTAATAATTTGTTAACTTTATAGATTCTTCTATAGTTGTATAGTTTTTTCAAATGGATTTTTCGAGGAAAACTTGCAAGAGTCTTCTACTTCCACCATATGGGTCCCTCGGGTCATCAGGCTTCACACCAAGTACCTTTACCCACTGGTACCTGTGAGAAGTTCTGAAGATACACAGCAATACACTTAAAACAAGCAGGTCCTGCACAGGGTACATGGTTCTCCCTTTAAAAGAAAAACCCTCACAAATGTATAGCTCACTATGTTCGTTTCAAGTTGTTTTTAGTGACCCACTTACCTTTAGCAGGAAAGGCCATTTATGAGTAGGCTATTATAACTGTCTAGCTATAGGAGTAAGCTTTGGACAGGGTTGGGGCCAGTCCCAGACAACAGTACAGTGCTGATATTCATGGATACAGAAAGCTTATTCCAGACTAGCAGGTCTCAGCCTTGCCTGCATAGGAGTATCACTGAATAACTTGAAAGAGAAACTATTAATTGAGCTTTCTTTGGCATATAAGATAGCTCAGCAGGTCAAGGAGCTCACTGCCATGCCTAAGTGAATTTAGTCTTTAGGATCCACATAGTGCAAGGCCAGAACCAGCAGGAAAGTTGGTGTGTGTGTGTGTTTTATGAGCTCCTTCCTTAGTTTTTGTCAAATCAAGCAAGGGTTGACCAACTTGGCCCTGTATCTAAAATATTTTTTTTGTAACTGTACCTGCTGTTGCCTTCTGTAGTTTTAAATGGTCTTACCTGGGGGGTGGGGTTGGGCAAGATGCCTCAGTGAGGAAAGGTGCCTGCTGCCAAGCCTGCTTGATCCCTGGGACACACAGTAGGAAGAATCTGCTCTAACAGTCGTCCTCCGAGTTCCACTAGGTGCTGGGCACATGCAGATGCACAAACAGTGGTCTTACCTGTAATACATACTGTCGGGCTCTGTCCACATCCCCTGGCACACTGAACCGTCTCATTATCATAGCATTCATTTCTGGGAACTAACCAAAAAGAAGGGAAGCCTGTTTATTGTTCCTGGCGGAATGAAGCATTTTAATACCTGTTTATATAGAAAATAAACAAAACCAGAAATGGGGCTGGAGACAGCTCAATAGTGAAGAGTACTTGGTGCTCTTGCAGAGAACCTGTATTAGATGTCACCCACATCAGGCAGCCTACATTATTCCCATAACTCCACTTCCACAAGATCTGGCACTCCTGCCTCCAACGGCCCTGCACATAAACTGGTGCACAGACAGACAAGCAGGCACATACACATTAAACAAAGAAACCTAATTGTTCTGTCTGTGGTCCAGTTTGAGTGTGGTTCAGGACAAAGTACTGTACTTCAATCTTCCCCGGGTTCTAATTCAGTAGGATATGGGTTGGGAACACCTTTTTAATTGAATTTCCTGGTGATGTTGGATACTGCTGGTTTAGGACTACATTTGGAAAACCACTGGTTTAGGAAGAGGTTAGGAATTAGAGATTGTTGACTGCCACCGAAACCATTTGCATGTGTATGGGGCACTGGCAGTGGGGGTTGCATTAAGTGCCTAGATTGCATTCCCAATGAATCTGATTATACTGATGTCATGATTACCAGCACTTCCCCGATATTTTAATGCATAGCAAAGCTGAGATTCATTGGATTAGAGGATATAGAGGTATCCATCAACCAGGTCGGTGTCCTGAGTTACAAAAAAAGATCGGTACAGGTCAGCCCCAACACTGCAAAAACAAAAACTCATGGACTTGGAGACTTCATAGGGGAAGAAATTCTTTGTTTTTCTAGTTCAATGGTTGGTCCAAGAACTAATTCATTATAGCACAAACTAATAGGAGAAAAAGAGGAAGAACGAACAAAAGTGAAGGTGCCGCAGGGTCTGATGGCTGGAGTTTGACCTCAACTCACAACAGGAGAGAACTGACTCCTGCAAAGTCCACTCAGCCACTGCTCTCCCTGCCCTGTGTACACACACACTATAAAGAGCCTCTCCACTAAGTCGAAGTTCTTTAGGACAAAGCCAGGACAACAGACACATCACTTCTAGATCCAAGCTCCGTGTTCAGGTTCTGCCAGCAACCACCCCAGCTGATGTCAGCCTTTTCAGTCTGAAATCTCTCATTTCTAGCAGTCTGCAGTTCATGGAGGAAGAGGCAGGGTGTGTTCATTCATATCCACGCTTACAGCAGTTTCCCTGACACTATGCCTGAAGGATGAAATAAACTGTCCTGTAATAGTGACCATGGAATCTGCAAAAGGAAAAACGGCTCACAAGAGAAGCCCTAACCAAATGATAAGGAGCAGTATTCTTTTTCTACAAAAGTATGTGTTTGAGAACAAAGTTGTCAACATGTAAAGGCAGCTAACATACAGAATTTAAGGAGCCAGCAACTGATTAGTTCTTAAGTACTAATTTGTATTATTTACTGGTCTTTTAAGAATAAAACTATATTAATAAATCAAGAAATGAATCATAATATTGGTTAAAGTAAAATCTTTAGGCATTTCTTTCAGTTTGTAAAGACCTCACTCAGCCCCACCTGTTACTTCTAGGCTATATCCTAGAGCAGATGTGACACTGTCTTGGGCATCTAGTACAACTACCCTGGTTTTGATATATGAGCTTTTCTTTTTTCAGTATGAGTTATGCATGATAAAATATGCTGATTGTGTAGATTCTCTGGTGCTTTTACTGTCAAAACACCAAGAAAACAAAAAAGTTGAAATGTGCACGACCATGTTCCTCCTTTGAAATAATAGCATGTAGATTTTAATATGCAAATATCAAACTTCTGGAAGGCTGTCTCTCCCTCCCCCCACCATACATGTGAGGAAGAAGTGAGAAACAGGAAGATGGTTCTTGCCCCAGATTCAGTGAGAAGACATTTTTATTATTTTGTCTTTTGCTTGCTCATGCTGTTTTACAAGTAGGAAAACATTGTGTAAGTGAATAGGATGCTAACTCTGAAATCTGTCCACAAAACTAAGGGTGATCCAAGTGCACTGGGATGATTTGGCCCCAAAGAGTCACCGTACTAGCAGAAGCCTGGGCATCTGGTGCAGGGGCTGGTGATGGCAGATGGAAAGATGGCTACAGCCTGACATTTAGGTCTAGTGACTTATCAAGTAACAAGCAGATGAAAGGAAAGATTTTAAAAAGAACTTTTAAACTAATGTAATCTCACCAAAAACAGAAACTACTTCTATTTTGTTTCTGAGTGTTTCACAAACATTTTCGTATGTCACAAAAGATTTAATATGAAGATTTAAAACAAATACATAGAAGGGAAAAAAAGCCAGACAATTTCCTCACATTGTTTTCCAAACTGAAGGATACCACTATGTCTTACTTCCCCACATTTACATGTTTAAACATTATCTTTAGGGAAGGAAACCAGCAAGTCTAAGCAAGGGGAAAAAAGGACAAAATTGCTAATCACTTCTTTACCTTTTGGGGCATCACAAACAGCAAAAATAATTGTCAGACATTACTATAACCATACTACAGAAAATGTGCGATCAAACTTTCACAAAAATTCATATTCTGAGAAAATCATGAAGTATGAGATAGCACAGCAAATTCAGGTAGATGTTACTGAGTTAATGTACAAGGCATTCTAAAAAAGGATGGAGACTTGTTTGTTTAAGATACATGTCTTTCTTATTTCCAGTAGATTCTGTGTACAGTTCCATTATAGACATCTGCCACTGGCTCTGGTTTGAACTTGTGAATAAGGTCTTTGACAATGTTTTTGGATTTTTTGTTTGTTTGTTTGTTTGACAGAATCTCATGTGGCCCAGGATGGCCTTAAACTCACTATGTATTGAATTCCTGGTCTTTCTGCCTCACCTTCCAAGTGCTGGTGATGGAGGCCAGGGATTTGTGCATGCTAGGCAAGTACTTTACCAATGGAGCCCAAGTTTTTGCTCTTGAAGAAAATATAAACACCTATACAAGAATACACTAATATACTATCATCACTGGGACCTCTCCAGAAATCCTGGAACATTTTATGTGTGTGTGTGTGTGTGTGTATGTGTGTGTGTGGGTGTATGTGTGTGTGTGTGTGTGTGTGTTGCATACAAGCACACTAAGAATCAAGCCCAAGCTGGGCAGTGGTGGCGCACGCCTTTAATCCCATCACTTGGGAGGCAGAGCCAGGTGAATTTCTGTGAGTTCGAGGCCAGCCTGGGCTACCAAGTGAGTTCCAGGAAAGGTGCAAAGCTACACAGAGAAACCATGTCTCAAAAAAAAAAACCAAAAAAAAAAAAAAAAAAAGCATCAAGCCCAGGGCCATATACACGCTAGGCAAGTCTCTACCACTGAGCCATAGCCTCCTGAAAACACCTTGGCCATCAGGAACAATGCCTGAACAATGGCCATCAGGAAATCCTTCCCAAGGTATCAAAAATAGGAGAATCAGTCAAACAGTTTTTAGCCCAGCAAATTCTAATGTTAAGATTACTTACCATGCAGCATTGAAAATGAAAAGGCAAGCCAGGTTTGGTGGACATGGCTATTATCTTAGTACTTGGGAGGCTGAGGCAAGAAGACTGCCACCAGTTTGGGGAAGACCTAGGATCTCAGAGCAAGACCTTCAGTGTTACACAGATGGACCAGTTCAAAGACAAATTTGTGGACAAGACACCAGCCCATGGGGAAGGTTTACAAGTACCTTACAAGTACTCTAGTAAATGTGTATGTTAGTTAATCACTAATAATAGTGGATACAGTGTGCAGTGTATCTTCAGTGCTAGGACATACCAGTTACCTGGTCTGTGGGTACTATTATCCACACTGTTAGTTGCAGGAGCAATTCAAGTATAGTAAAATGAATGCTAGACTTAGAAGACTTGGAAAAGATGGCCTTCTGTGCCATCTACCAGATGTTCCGTTTTGGCCAGACATGAGCATCATTTTCATTTATATAACAAACAGTTATCTACCACAAAGCAGAATTGTGAGAGCAGGGCAATGTAAGAAAGAATCCTTTATAAACTAAAATCAACACAGTTTTATTAAAGCAAGATACTGTATAATCCTGTATTATTTTCTGAACTTGATTTACCCAAAGTTATTTTAAGCCCCATGAACTTTTGACAGATTTCTTGCTAAGAACCTCTTTTTAACAGTATAATCCATAAAAGATCCTAAATTCAGGGGTTTGAGACAATTTGTAAATACATGCTTGACTAAGTATAAATATATATTTGATTAACTTTTGGTATATGTGCCAGAATGTGAAATGAATCCTGTCCAGAGTCAGTTCCTGCTCAGCCTCATCATGTTTCCTTCTGGGGGTTGCACGATGCCTTGTAACTTGTTCCCATTGCCTCACAGGCAAACTGGGGGAAAGTGCTGTCTGGTCAGAATAACTGGGTGACTTGTGATTCTGGATTTCCCAGTAAGAACACATAAAACCATAGTTTGGGTAACCTTCTGTTCCTTTTTCTTGCTCCTACTTCAAGAACAATTAACCAACCAACCAACCAACCAGACAAGCAAATATAAAACCTCAGCAATTTCCCATCTGCTGTGAATTACAGACAGATCAATCATAAGAGCTGTGCATTCTGTTTCTGTTCCCACTTTGTACCATTATATCTGAATGCATAACCAGCTATTAATCCGTTGTGTAGAGGAAAGTAAACTGTGATTCTTTAGAAATAATGTAATGAAACAATCAAAAGAAGCCAGTCCATTCCACTTGTCTCATGTAGCTCATGACAAGTATTTACAATTGTTGAGATTTCTAAAAGCAGAACAAACCAAATTTAGTCTTTATAGACTAAATCAGGGAAAGGCTCAGGGCCTAGCTGAATCTTTACTGAGCTAGTTGGCTTTGAGAATGGACTTTACTTGAGCTTTATTTGAGCTGTCCTCTACTCATGCATACTAATCTGTGACTGAGATGAAGGTCTGTAATTGCACAACAAATGCTGGCCAATGACTGATTTTTCTATTATCAGATATACTTTCATTTATACACATTTATATACATGGCTCAGGACTACTGTGTATGTGTAGGGAGTTGTGGCATAACAGAAAATGTTCCTTACTAAAGCTTTAATGTACAAAAGGTCTTCTTAAAATATTTTTTAAACTTGGCATATATATTAGTAATCTTCCTAAATATTGGGTAGTGAGTTAGTAAGTCTCAGTCTCATGGGAGAAGGGACCCACCATTCATAGCACGCTTATATTTTGTTGTCTTTCTTTTTTCTTTTTATTTGAGAGTTTTTTGTTTTTTTGTTAAATGCTTAAATGTTAAATATATGTAGCTCAGACTGTCCTCCAACTTATGATCCTCCTGCATCAGCCTCTGGATGTTGGGTTTACAGGTCTGTACTGCCGTATCAGAACTGCACACTTTTCACTTCACTTGACCTCACAATTCTGAGAAGATGGAGTGTGGTAATGAGGACAGAAGTTTCTGAGTGCCCCATCATCTCTGCTCCATAGTCTTTATTCTTCAGTTGACTGAGACTGTCCATGGGATCCAGTCCAGTCATCCAGACATCGGCCTCCCCTAGGATGAATCACCATCACCTGCAGTGGCTGCTAGATAAAAGGGTGAAAGATCATCTCTTCCCTTTCTTGAATCAGAAATGAATCAAAAGGAAGGTCATTGGTTTTAATATCAAAATGGAGCTACTTAGTGCTACAGAAGTTATGACTTACATGTTAAAGAAAGAATATAAGTAAAATTTATGAGAACACTGATAAAAGTTTTAAAAATTTTAGACCCAAAAGGTAGTTGGTGATAATCATCTTATTACACTGATAAATAACCAATTAAAGGCCACTCAGATGGATATTTGTTTTAAAGATACCCACTCACAGCTAATGGCTCATTTACTCCAAGTAGCATTTGGCATGCCAAAAGCATATGGCTAGGGTCCAAAAGAAGCTGTGAGGACGGCTGCTCTGACAGTCACTGCAGTATCTTTGAGGCTTCCTAAGCATCTCATCGATATTAAGGATGACAAGGAAAGCAGCTTCACTTACTTCCTTGACAGTTTCCCAATCTGGAAAAGGAAGGAACTATGGTTCTGGTGCATTTAATTGACTTCTTCACATTCTGGAGCAATGGCTAAGGCTCCCAGGCTTCTCTCAGGGTGCACACAGTTCTATTAAACTCCTAGAACGTATCAGTTTCTCAGACAGACACCCTTGGCACTTCCTGGACCTTTAAGAAGCTTTGAGGCACACCCAATCGTCAACGTTGCAACACCCAAAATACATTAAATTCACACAGCACTTTCTGATTTACAAGATAATGAGTATTATCAACTAGCCCTCAGAGCAACTGAGATTATAATCTGCATTTCACTGATAAGGCTTATAGAAGTATAATTACCACCCTAACATCTCAGTTATGAAACCAGGATAAAATCTGTGGTCCCTTATCTAAATGCCTCCAGCTGTTCTTAATTTCACACTTTACCAGCTGTGCCTACAGATATTAGTTCCCTAGAGCTCCTCAGCTGTGTTTCAAAGATAATAAAACCTACCTGCTGGCAAGCAAACAAGACAGGGCCGGTGGCTAAGCCTAGCTTCAGGTCTGCAGATGTTGGCTTGCCCATCTGGTGAGAACATGAGGTGAAGTCCAGTACATCATCTATGAGCTGGTGAAAGGAGAGATGAGTCACACCCACTGTCCTCCCTGCTTTGAACTCTTTACACTGAGGCTAATGCAGGCTATGCCTACACATCACCATTCCCACAAACAGGCCAACCAACCTGAAAAGCTATTCCAACGTTTTTCCCATACTGATAGGCAATCTCATGCACCACTGGGTCAGGGCAACCCAGGACAGAGACCTGAAACAAAAAGAAGATTCTGGTAAGCTGTGGCATCCAGACATAAGGCAGCCAACCCTGATGAAGGAGCCACTCACACATCCCCTAAGAGAACCAAGCCTATGTCAATCAGGGGATGCTGGCACCTAAGGGACACCAAGCACATTAAAAGGTGGTTTTTTTTTGTTTTTTTTTTTTCCCCAGTTCTGAGACTAGAATCCAGGGCCTCATGCAAGCTAGGCAAGCACTCTACCATCCAGCTCCAACCCCAGTCCATTTTCTTACATTTATTTTAATGTTTGTGAGTGTGCATGATGTGTGTATAGGAGTGTGGATGCCACTCTGGTGTCTCTTCTCCATCTTTAAATGGGTTTCAGGGATTGGATTCAGGTTGGCCGGCTTCCTTCCTCCTCCAGTTCTTTCAAACAAGATACACAGTCTTCCAGACAAAGAACCATAAGAATAAATTCTGATAGTAAGCTAAGCAAATCTTTCTGGTATACAAAAAAAGATCCCATTGTGTACAACACTAGCTTCCCGCACTCAGTGCAATTGTTAGCTCTGATGACCTCTGAGGAGTCACTCTCATTTCAGGGGTGGAATCTCATCATACACACGACATTGCCAAACACCTCTTCATTTGTGGGTCAGTTTTGGTGATCACACTTTTTCTTGTGATCCTCCTGCCTCCACCTCCTTCAGCAAATCCTACTGGCATGCGCCACCACAACTGGCCACACTTTTTTCTCAGTGCAGCTGTTTCTTGCTATGTCTGTTAACAGCCTCAGTCTCAGTCTGGACTTGGATACTGTTTCTTCATTATGAGAAGGATCTTCCATGGACCTACTGTTTTTAGCCCTCTTTCATCAGAAGTAACTGCACTGTACTAGGACTGCTTGTTTGCACCCCCACCCTTCCAAAAAGGAGAGAAGTAGGACTTACAAAGCCTTTTAAGGCCCCAAACCTCAAACAGAAGCTGGTTAGTGCTGAGCATGCTAATCCACACTAAGCCACGGGAGCTACTTCCTGCTGCACTGTTGGGCATGCTAAGCAGGCCCAACCACATTTCAGAAATCAAAGACTGGGAAAGAACAAAGGGGAACTGGGGAGGACATGCTATGCTGAAGCTCAGTGAGGAAGCCAGAGGAACTAGGTCACTGGAGAGAAACAACCGCCCTGTCTACTTTGGTTCTCTATTAGAGAGCACATCCCCCAGACATCAGCATGGGAGGGTAGGACAGGCTCCAGAAGAAGTCTGAGCGGTGGAGGTATGCTTCTAGCAACTATCAGTGACCTTGATCTGCTGTCTGATCTTTCTGTGTGTGCTTCAGGTTCCCCACCTGTGAAGTGAAGGAATTCAACTCTTACCTCATCAGAATGAGAAATTTGCCATTATGACTCTCCTATAGTGCTGTGGATATAGCTCAGTAGTAAAGCATTTACCTAGCATACTGGTTTGGGATCTAACAAAACAGGTAGAATAAAAGAAAAGGAAAAAGAAAGAAAATGATGCTCCTGTTTAGCTGGATGTGGATGTGCGCACCTGTAATCAAGGCATTCAAAAGGTGAGGCAGGAAGATTACAAATGTGAGTCAGAAAACAGAAGAATCCCCTTCTCTTGGTCTGCATCCACAGGAAGCAGGCAGGATCTGCTAGCGGTCGGTCTCATTGCTCAGCTATACTTTTTTTGTCGTTTTCCTTTTGCGGTGCTGAGGCTCAAACCCATGGCTTTGAAATGCTCTCGGCTCAGCCCCACTCCAGCCCTGCCAATACTTTCTGATGACTTAATGAAGTACGCAGCTGTAATGCTGGCAGAACAGGACCACACTGCACATACCAAAAAGGCCACTTGAGTGAGTAATAAAATCTTAACTGTTTTCAAAAGCAAAGACCTGTAATCCATGGCCTCCAGGGAAGAGCTCTTCTTTTCAACTATTCTGTGAGACCACATGGAGGTCAATTTAGAAAAGAAGTCAAGATAGCCACCAACTTGGGTCAGAGTGAGAGAAAGGCAAGGTTCAGGCAGCTGGATATGCTAAACTCAGAACAAAATGAGCCCCTCCGCCCCAGCAGAAAGAACTAATAAAGAAGCAACCTCCAGTAGTGAGCTTCTTAACATAAAGGCAGATACCCAGAAACAAAACCTTCCTTCCAAAAAATAAAAATAAATGGAAAATGTCTTTTTAAAGTCAACGAATTAGCATTTGTGGTGCATATAACTTGCATTATGAATTCCTTAAGTTTCACAATAGCTCCTAAATACTTTTGTGGCTAATGATGATAAAATCTAACAAATTCTGGGCATTCACCATGCACTATCCTAAGATTTCTTATATACTTCCTTAGAAGCTTTGAGGAACTGAGGTGTGGAATATTCCAGGAATTACAATGCTAAGACATGCAGGAATCAGAACCCGAATCCAAATGTCTGATTCTGAAGAGTGTTCTCTTAGTCCGTCAGCAGCGCTGGTCTAATGACACACAACTGAAGCCAGAGGGTCAAGAAAGTCTCCCAGGCCAGCAGCAAGCTGAGGTCTGTCTGTACTGCCCCTTCCTGGCTCGTATATACTAACCCAGCAATGAACTCCTTATTGACTTCAAGTCAAAATTTCTGTTCAGCTTGAAGACCGCTCTGAAGAGTTCTGGTTCCCTTAACCAGGTTAAGGGACAGAAAACGACTGCCACAAGCATAAAATTAGATATGATGTAGCACAATGCACAAATGGCAAGAAGGCAAGCTGTACGGCACTGCTTGTACTCAGCACCAGAGAGATGCCTCCCATCTTCCTGAAGTAGGTGGAGTATGAAAAATGATCAAGCCAAAGAAAGTCTGACTAACTGCTGAGCAAACGCTGCTTGAGGACCACACCTAAGCCTACATTCCCACAGCCTCATGGCGGAAGGACTTGCACTGGAGGGCAAAGGTTGACAAGGCTCTCCTGTCTTTGGAATGTATACTCACACCACTAGAAGATTAGAGATATTTTCTGATGGGTAAATAGTATGTACTATGGTCTTATTTGTTTAAAATAGTATAGAAGCTATGGCGGCATACATCTCTCACCTAGTACTTGGGAGGCAGAGGCAGGAGTAGTTTATGGATTTATGGCTAGCCTTGTCTAACAGAGAGTTCCAGATCAGGCAGGACCACATAGTGAAACCCTACCTCAAAACAAAACAAAACAAACAAAAAGCGTTAGAGGGGCTGGAGAAGACTGCTCAACAGTTAAGATCACTGGCTGCTCTTCTAGAGGACCTGGGTTCTGACCTCAGTGGGCACTGCATGCACATGCTGCAGAGACACACATGAAGGAAAAACACCCAGACACATAAAAATTATAAAATACTGTAGAGACTTTGAGTCTGCACCATTATAGATAAATATACTAAACAGGTAAAGAGAAAATATATGAGCACAGTATTACAAAGAGCTGGAGGTGATACTGTAAACCAGTAATCTCAGTAGTACAGAGGCCGAAGCAGGAAGAGCATGGGCTGCAGGCCAGCTTGGAATACAGGGCAAGATTTTGCCTTAAACAAAACACAACAAGACCTTCTGCAAATACAAATTCTAAATATATAAAAAACATAGACAATTAAAAGAGAGATATGAAAACAGACCTAATCATAAACACTCTTGTCCCCCAAACCTGGCGACCTGGGTTTGATCTCTGAAAGCCACAGAAAGGTAGAAGGAGAGAACCAAACTCCACAGACCTATTGACTTTCACTCATGTGCTGTGCCATTCAGGTACCTCTCCAAATAATAATATAATAAAATACAAATCAAAACAAAACTAAAAAAACTCAAATAGCCCTCAATGATCTGAATGATATTCAGCTTTACTCAAGTAGTGAGAGATATAATTAAAGCAAACTGGATTGTCAAAAATTGAAAAATCGAGTGTGAATTTCAGTTAGTAAAACCCCAGGGAAAGAGGAAGTCACTCAAAGTGCTGACAGTAATGCCTATGCCCGTATGTAAGGAGGTCTGATGGTGCCTAACCAAACGATACATACATGGCCTCTAATTTACCCCAGAAGTGAGCCTCACCACACAGACACACAGAGTAATGGTAGTGTAGCTTAGGACTGGATACTACTGAAAACTTAAATGTCTGTATAAAGGAGACTGACTGAGCAAGTGATGCTATTGCCATACAACAGACATTGTACAGCTGTGGGTTTTGGCTTGTTTTTCTTTTGGGACAGGGTCTCACTATGTAGTTCTGGCTGGCCTGGAACTTGCTATGCAGACCAAGTGTGTCTCAAACTTAGAGATCTACCTCCCTCTGTTTCCTGAGTGCTAGATGGGGAAAAAGAAGGTGTGCATAATCAACATGAAATCGTCCAGAGTACAGTCTAGGTAGGCAAGCAGAACAAACACTAAACAGTCTACTAATTTTTACAGGTTACAGACTCGGAAATCATGTATGTGAATCTTATTTATGCAAAATGAAGCAGAGGAAGGAAGAACCAGAAGGCTCCCAGACCGACCTGCTGCGTGAAGCAGACAGGGAAATGATGAGGGGGTGGGGTGGGGTTGCTGCTGTGCTGCTGTCTCATTCCCACCAGACCTCCCGGGGAACAAATTGTGATCTTCACTGGGAAGCTACAGAGTGCATTTGGCATGACTATGAATACAAATAAATGGCCAACCATATTTTGAAAATAACATCAATTCTATTCTAATATCATTCAAAGCCTCAAAGCAGTTTCTCTAGCCAGTTCCCTCTCTGAATTTTAATATTCTTTTGGTTAAAAACCTAATAGGTAGATAAGAAAGGGTGGGAAGCATAGTAAGGGAAAAATGGTGTCTTTAGTAGACCGAATAAAATTCTGGTAAGCTTCCTTTAAATTCTCACAGCATTATGGACTCCCAAGTGCTCTGTAATGATCTTCATCTCCAAATTCTTATCTCCTTTATTTGGCACGTCTGATTTCCTTTGCATGAATGTCTTTGCTCATATGTCTGCATCTTAAATACCAAGAGCATATAAAAATAGTCATTTTAAATACCTAACACCTCTGGAATATTTCCACCCATGGGCACTTAAATATAGAACTCTTGTTCAGAGTGCTTGCACTATGATTCTGCTGGTTCTAATAGGCATCTGGGACACTGTGAGCACGCCTCCTTGTGGTTGGCACAGAATACTTCTTTTACTTTTTTGCACTTTTTCTTCTTTCTCCTTTTTTTCCTTTAAAAAATGTTTTTATTGGGGGGGGAAGGGGGCAATACTAGGGATTGAACCTAGGAATTTATGCATGCTAGGCATGTGCTCTACCATCAAGCTTTATCCTCAGTCTTAGACTATTTCATTTTTAATCAGAATTGAGTCATATTAAACTATACATCTATTGCTGGGTGGTGGCGCACGCCTTTAGTCCCAGCACTTGGGAGAGAGAGGCAGGAGGATCTCTGTGAGTTCGAGGACAGTCTGGTCTACAGAGTGAGACCCAGGACAGGCACCAAAACTACACAGAGAAACCCTGTCTCGGAAAACAAAACAAAACAAACCAACCAAAGAACCAAAACCAAACAAACAAAAAAACACCTCCCAAAATATACATCTATTACTTGCTTATCTTAATTTTTCATTACATTTATTATTCATTTATTTATGTGTGTCTCTGTATGTGGCTTTCCACCATGTGGGGCCTAGGGATTAAACTCAGATCATCAAGCTGTGGTAAGCACTTTACCTGGCGAGGCATCTCATAGTTCCTGCTTACTTGATAATCTCTGAAAAGCACGAGGAGCTCCTCACTCACACAGAGGTTATCTTTGGCATTTAAGCAGAGAGTCGTGATGGTGCCTCTCCCTGGTGACACAGAAGGATCACACCACTGTGTGAATTAGTTCCTGGTCCCATGTAGAGCTGCTCCATTGCGCCCAGAGAATACTCATTTAGTGTTTTAGAAGTAACAGCATCTCCACCTGCTGCTAGTGTTTCTAAACTGCAGTGGCAAACCTGTGAAGTTATCAATGAACTTCTCTTAACATACTAGTAGTTCCTAGGGATGGATTGTTTCTTTCTTTTTTTATGTGTCAGGACTCAAGCTGTTCATATATCCAGAAATGGGCTAAAGCTGGACTATAGGATTTCTAGTGGTTAGATAAAAGTCTAGTATTCCTCAGGAACTTGTGAAAAAGATTTTCCTTCCCCAAAAGGAGTCATTCCCCCGCCTCTGGCAGAAGGGACAAAAGGCTCCACTGACACGTCCCTGTGGTTAATTATCAAAGCCCATGCTGGCCTCCGGACTCCTACAATCCCTAATCACAAGTACTTGCTATATATTTCAAAGTCAAAGCTACTTCTTTTTCTCTCTGTTCTTGACTCTTCCAAACACCTCTGTATATTTTCTCCCTCTTATTTACAATATAAACCTCCCCCTAATAACGGAGCACCTACTTTGGCAGTTTCTTTCCTGTGCCCTCTGACATTCACTATGTAGCCTTAGCTAGCCTTGGACTCATGGCAATCCTCTAGCCTCAATACTCGGATAAGAGGCGCATGTTTCTACATCTGTCTAGGAAGACAGATTCTTCCAGGAGAGGGTGTCAGATTTCCTAGTTATATAGGTGGTTGTGAGCTGCCTGATGTGAGTGCTGGGAACTGAACTTAGGTTCTCTTCAAGAGTAGCAAACATTCTAACTGTTGAAGCCTCTCTCCACGGCCCAGGAGGTTAGATCTTGAGAGATTTGACAACCAAAGGTTAATAATAAAGCATAAATGCAACAGCTTTATGATATCCATTTATAAAAGGTCTATCATAACTTCATGTCTTCTTTAAAAACACTACATTTGTAATTTCTTGGAAATGTAACGTAATAGCTCTCTCAGGAAAAGATGAAGAGCTACGACTCTGGCCAGCTTGTCCTACATAACTCACATCTCTTGGCTTCCATTAGATCTTTTTGTGAAGAAACTGTTGGCCTTACTTTTTTTTTTTTTTTTTTTTTTTTTCGGTTTTTCGAGACAGGGTTTCTGTGTGTAGCTTTGCGCCTTTCCTGGAACTCACTTGGTAGCCCAGGCTGGCCTCAAACTCACAGAGATCCGCCTGGCTCTGCCTCCCGAGTGCTGGGATTAAAGGCCTGCGCCACCACCGCCCGGCTGTCCTTACTTTTTTTTTTCCTGGCCCATAAGTATATGTTTCTTTAACTGATTTTTGTTTTGTTTTTTCCAAGACAGGTTTTTTTTTGTGTGTGTGTGTGTGTAACAGCGCTGGCTATCTCAGAACTCACTCTGTAGACCAGGCTGGCCTCGAACTCATGGAGATCCACCTGCCTCTGCCTCCCAAGTACTGGGAGAAAGGCATGCATCACCACACCCAGTGAGTATGTGTTTCATGTAGCATGGCAAAATAGAGGCATTATCATCAAGGGACTAGAAAAAGGCTCCCTTTTACTATTATTTGCTATATTATGTTCCAAGGCAGTAATTTACACCTGCTCTTACATGTCTTTCTTTCTTCTTGTCTTGACTGCACAGGACTATTACATAGGACCATTGCTTGCTAGATTTCTTCTCTAAACCTGCTAGTCTGAGACATGCTTGGATAAACAATGTGTTCTTTTTTTTTTTTTTTTTTTTTTTCTGAGACAGGGTTTCTTTGTGTAGCTTTGGAGCCTATCTTGGAACTTGCTCTGTAGACCAGGCTAGCCTTGAGTTCACAGAGATCTACCTGCCTCTGCCTCCCAAGTACTAGGATTAAAGGCGTGCACCACCACCACTTAGTTAAACAATGTGTTCTTATTTTTGAGACAGGATATCATCTATAGCCCAGGCTAGCCTTGAGTTCACAGAGATCTACCTGCCTCTGCCTCCCAAGTACTAGGATTAAAGGCGTGCACCACCACCACTTAGTTAAACAATGTGTTCTTATTTTTGAGACAGGATGTCATCTATAGCCCAGGGTGGCCTAAAACTCACTATGTAGCCCTGGTTGGCTTTGAGCATACAATCTTCCTGTTTCTGCCTCCAAGTAAAAGTGCTAGGAATACAGGAATGTGCCACCAAACATGGCTTCTCACAGGAATAGTTTATGGAGAGACTGTTTCTTGTGTGTGAACTAACAATGACTATCAGACATTTTAATACACAGATTATGGACACCGATTTAAATATTTGGATAAAGCTGAGAAGCAGAGAGCACAATACAAAGAGGAGGTGAAGAGGACCAGGGAGACTGTGAGAGGAAGATGTTATTACTCAATTTATACTCTGAAAATTATAGCTTATATATAGGAGATATAATATAATAGGCCTACTATTTATTAACAAGTATAGAGCCAGGCAGTGGTGGCATGTAGAGAGCCGTGCACGGCTGCGCCACAAAGTTAGTACCGGCATCCGGCTTCTGCCTTCCTGATGGCCGGTGCTCCTTATTTGGCTAAGGCTAGGATCTGGTTTGCTTCCGCACACCTGGACCTAATCTGGCTTGCTTGCGTATGTCTGACCCTAGCGGCATTGTCCACGTGGCACCACGGGGTTGATTGCCCAGTGGCTATAAAGGGCGTGGGCTGGCTTTCCAGAGAGAGAGAGTGAGTGAGTGAGTGAGTGAGTGAGTGAGAGTGAGTGAGAGAGAGAGAGAGAGAGAGAGAAGAAGAAGATGGCTTTCCCCGGGGTCAGAAGATTGTTCAAGGTTCCTGAATAAACTGCTTAGAGAAGAGCCTGGCGTCGCGTCTTCCTTGCTGGTCGAGGCGGACGCGACAGTGGCACATGCCTTTAATCCCAGCACTTGGGAGGCAGAGCCAGGCAGATCTCTGTGAGTTCAAGGCCAGCCTGGTCTACAGAGTAAGATCCAGGACAGGCACCAAAACGTTACAGAGAAACCCTGTCTTGAAAAACCAAAAAAAAAAAAAAAAGTATATAGAATACTAGTGAAATCTAATAATTAAAACAATTTCTCCTAGGTAAATATGTATGTGACAATTTATTTTTAAAAGTAGAAATAATGTGTGACAACTATGACAAAGAGTTGCTCAGAATGTTACATAGTTTTGACTGGGAAATCTATTGATTGAATTTTTTATCTTACGTGTATGTAACATGTTTCAGCATGGACACACATGTGCCATGGCACATGTATGGAGGGCAGAGCACAGCTCCCGGACCCACTTCTCTCCTCACCTATGTTCCAGGAATCTAACATCAGGTTTGTGTGGCAAGCTCTTCCCTGCCGAGCCATCTTGCCAGCCTAGACTGGCAAGTATTTTGATTCTTGGGGGAAGAAAGATGAAAGAAAAGTTCCTTATTTCCATACCAAAAGGAGACAGCAAAAATGAAACCACAGCAGGAGTTGTCTGGGATGCAAGGTTTCCCTGACTTTTGGGACTTCAGGATGCTATTTTACGATTCTCTAATTAAATGGTTCTAGGAGAATTAGCCATCAAGAAATAAGTGTGGGCTTTTTTCAACTTAAAAAAAGACAGAACGTACATACTGCTTTACAACTGTTGGCTATCAGACTGGCCGTCTTCTTGAAGGTCTTTTCCAGGTAGTGGGCAAACCTTTCATTCTCATTTTCTTTTGACCCTAACTGAAGAAATTCACCTATCAAGAAGGAGAAGGGTTATTTGAGATATGGTTTTACTGTCTGGCCAAATACCAGGCTTGAACAAAACAGAAAAGTCAGAATAACTTACCACGCACCAAATCTTCAATAACTTGGCTGAAAAGAGATATAACAGCTGTGTTTCCAATCCGTGCCAGAGCTAAGGATGCTGTAGAAAGAATTAAATCTCCAGCAAGAACAGCCTGGAAAAAGGAGAAAAAAAATCGCAGATAAAAAGTTCACAGGTAGCCGGGCGGTGGTGGCGCACGCCTTTAATCCCAGCACTCGGGAGGCAGAGCCAGGCGGATCTCTGTGAGTTCGAGGCCAGCCTGGGCTACCAAGTGAGTTCCAGGAAAAGGCGCAAAGCTACACAGAGAAACCCTGTCTCGAAAAACCAAAAAAAAAAAAAAAAAAAACAAAAAGTTCACAGCTATATCAGTAGTTAAGCGCCTGCCTAGCACGCACAGGTTTGATCCCCAGGATATTAATGTGCCCAGAACAAATTATAAATCATGCAGTATATTATACAGTATAATCAAGTACATTATCTATACATGCACATTACTTTGCATATTTAAAGATATGCATCAGTACTATTTCTGTTACACAGAAATACTATAGTTAACAAAAATTTTCACTCATAGAATGTTATTTTATTTTTTAAAAAGTCAGGCTGTCTTCCAACTTGTTATGTAGCCAAAGTGGACTTTGAACTTCTGACCTTTCTGCTTCCCTTTCCTGAGTACTGGGATTATGGACATGCATCACCATACCCCACTCATGAGATGTTAGGGGTTGAATTTGGGGCTTTTTTTTATATGCCAAGCATGTGCTATACCAACAGAGCTACATACCTGCCCAAATTAATAGAATTTTCAAAATAATCATTTTAGTATTTATCTGTTCTCCAAACTAGAATAGTGCATTTAGTATTTTTGACCTTCTCTTCCATTTCTTTTTCTTTCTCTTTCTCTCTTTCTTTCTTTTTTTTCAAGACGGGGTTTCTTCGGGTAATTTTGGTTCCTGTCCTGGATCTCACTCTGTAGACCAGGCTGGCCTCGAACTCACAGAGATCCACCTGGCTCTGCCTCCCAAGTGCTGGGACTAAAGGCGTGCGCCACCACCGCCTGGCATTACTCATCCTTTTATAAAATTCATTCCCATTAAAGCATAGCCAGCACATGAGACTACTGACAATCCAACAGGAGGGAACCAGATGCTTGAAGTGTGTGAAAAACCATGTAAGCGGGTTAAGTTCTTCTCGGGTACTGTGGTTTGTTCTCCATCATGTGAGCCTGCCATTGGAGGCACAGGTGCAGGTGAATGTCTGCTCGATCACAGAAGACCTACACAGTCTCCTTTCATTTGTTCAACTTCATTCTTCAACCCATAATTTATAAATCTTCAACTCAAAGTCCCTATTTTGCATGTTTCCTTCAAGCAATGCTAATAAAATGGGAAATACGTTTAAAAATAAATATACAGGGGTTGGAGAGACGGCTCAGCAGTTAAGAGCACTGGCTGATCTTTCAGAGGACCTGGGTTTGATTCCCAGCACCCACATGGTGGCTTCTAAACACCTGTAAACCCACTACCAGGGGATCCAATGCCCTCTTCTGGCCTTCTTGTGCACCAGGCACACAAGTAGTGTGCATATCTACATGCAGGCAAAACACTCATACTCATCAAATAATGATTATATATGTATGTATGTTTACTATATCAAACACAAAAATTTCATATGTGTGTATGTGTGTGTGAACCAAATCTTATTAGGACCTCTTTTAAAAAGGTAATAAGTTTTGATGGTAGAACACTATTTCTGAGGTTTTTCTGTTTTGTAGTTTTTACTTTGACACTATTGAACATGCGGCAAATAACATATGCTTATGGGCTCAAGTGAATGTAGGCAATCTGGGTGCAACAGAAAAATGTAGGATTCCTCAAGAAATACCCATGAAAATGCCTTTCCTTATAACTAGAAGAAATTCTACATGAAACAGTGGATAAGGAAAAACACTGAATTTGTTTTTACTGTCAAGTACTTTTACAGATATAGCACAAACTTCTTTGAAATTTCAAAGACCACATTGAAACAAGTGTATTTTACAAATCTGAAAAGAAAATGCAATCCCATAAGTATATGATTTGGTAAGGAAGATTTTCCAAAGCAACAATAAAAAACCATCATACCTTTTTTTCACCCCAGATTTTATTAACTGTATGTTTTCCTCTTCGAGAACTTGCATCGTCAATAACGTCATCATGAACCAGACTAGCAGTGTGGATCATTTCTGCAATTAAGGCTATGGAGCGTTGGCTGGCTTGCATATCTCTAATTAACAGAAAGCAATGCTTTTTTTTAACAGACGCCTCCTAGAACCTTCTCAGCAATCATCTTGTGAAAACTGGATATCGGATCTAGGATAAAGAATTTTATTTCTCTAAGAGAAACTGTATAAAAATGTTAGCTGTCCTATAGAGCCATTTCTGTTATTTGGAGAACATTCTAATGATCTAGAGACCCAGCTATGACATTAGAATTTCCACTTAAAATATGGTAAGCATCTTAGAAGCCTGGCCATTGGGTGGAAGAAAATCATCTTTCTGTCCAACAGAAGTGGTCTTGGTCAGATGTCCAAGTTTATAATCAGTTTACAGTTGAGGGATGGACCAGTGAGTGGCCCAGGAGCTAAGCCTGACAACCTGAGTTCGATCCACAGACCCCACAGGTGGAAGATAATTGAGTCCTGCAATGAACCTTCACATGCATACCTTAGGATGCATGTGCCCACACACAACACACACACAAATAAAGGTGTTTTACAAAAAGTGGTTTGCATGGTATGGAGGTTTTTGTTTTTGTTTTTTATTAATGTATAGTGTTTTGCTTGCATGTATGCCTATGTACCACATGTGTGTCAGCCCAAAGTCAGAAGAGGATGTCAGATTCCCTGAAACTATAGTTATCGATGGTCGTAAGCTGCCATGTTAGTGTTGGGAATTGAACTCAGGTCCTCTACAAGAACAAGAAGTACTCTGAACTGCTAAGCCATATCTTCTGCCTCAGTATGAAATGTTTTAAAGAATCAGATATCAGGGGTTGGACATACACGCACACATGCACGCGCGCGCGCACACACACACACACACACACACACACACACACACACACACACACACACGAAATAAACAAAATATATCTTAAAGAACCAAATGCCACTATGCACAAAGCTTTTACAACTATCTTGAATATGGCATGACCAACAACTTCCTTCTAACTCATCCTTAACTTTGTAGGAATCTGAATTAATTTCTCCTTACAAATTACAGGATAAGAACTCTCAAGATGTACAGCGATGTGAACTTAACAGTAAAAAAGGGAATGCTCCAATTTCTTTTTTTCTGAACAGGGACTATGTTGACCAGGCTAGACTCAAATTTTTAGACTTAAGCAATCTTCTTCCCTCAGTCCCAAAAAGCTGACTATAAGTGCACTCCATTGACTTCTGGCTTCTTTTGAAGCAAGGTCATTACTATTTCACCATGTACAGGAATTGTAAAAAAACTGAACTTCAGTAAAATCAAACTGGAGAAATACATTGTTGTTTCTTTTTATACTAAAGCATGACATCTGATTCATGTCCTAAGCAAATGTTATCATAGGGTTGTATCTTCTGAGAGGAGGAAAGGGAGAAGCATAACAAATGGCTTTTCCTTTAAAGATTTCATCTGAACGTCTGCATAAGTAATGCTCATTCTAATTCCTTAGGTTCAGCAGAAAGTCATGACAAATAGACTCATGAAAATGACGCAGGCACGCTCTACATAATAGCCAGCATGCAAGCATCTCCTGATCTTATCTAAGCAGGATTTTGAAGTGTGATGTTGTGGTGGTTCATCTCACCCAAAGCTTTAGAACTCAGTCTCAGCCTCCTCACTGCTTCCAGCCCCAACATCAACTATAAGGTACTGCTTAGTATATATTAAATGTACTTACATACTACTATATAAATTACTTACTTTTATAAATAGTAATTTATCTAATATTACATGTTATATATTAAATTTAACAATTCAAAACAGCAGTTTCAAGTATTTCCAGATCACAAGAGTCTCTTTCAGGGGAAAAAGTAAAGAAAAAGCAATAGCAGGTATAGACAAATCATGGCACAAAATCAGCCCAGCAAGGCTGCGGACAGCACAGCTCACAGGGAAAGAAGGTTTGTGGCACGTGAAAGGCCTTGGGTTTGACCTCCAACACCAACACAAGACACTGCATCGGTGAAAGAGAAAAATCACTGTGCAGGTAGTTCTGAAGAGCTTGTGCTGAATCTATCAGTAGATCCCCCGACTTTTCATTAGGAAACATATATATTATCTAGGTAAACTTACTAGGCTCTAGTTTCTTTGAGTTGATGCACAGAAAAATATATGTGTTTTATAGTTTTAAAATAGAAACACTTTTCTAAGAATATTACCTCAACTGAATTTCAGTCTAACAAAATACATACTCTTTACTAATTAGTGGTAGAATTTACCTCTAAACAACTGTTAAGGCCTTTGACCTCTGCCATGTATTCCCAAGTTGGGCACCATTTCATTATTACAAGCTATGTCAACAAATAGGGCTCCTATTGGAAGGATGAAATCATGAACACTTAACAAGAAGCCAGCATTTAATATTTGAAATTTGAGGATATGAAAACAAAGATTTTTTTGAAATATTTTGAACTGGGTGATGTAATTATGTAAGCCCCAAACTTGGGAACTGAGGTAGGAATATAATGAGTTTGAGACCAAACTATTTCAAAAAACAGTCTTTCTTTCAAGGTACTAGGTTTTTAGACTAGAACTTTATGTATGCTAGGCAAGTGCTTTCCCACTGAGTGATATCCCCTGCTTGCAAAAATTGTCTGAAACTATAAAGACTATACAGCACATATATTAAGTGCCGTTCTGAATGGTTACATTGCTGATTTAATCAGAATTCTGGCTTAGGGTGTAACTTGGCACTGTAACATAAGTTCTACATGAGAACACGTATCATAGCTGTATCCTTTTCCCCCATACAATTGCATTTTTATGTCTTTTAGCTTCTATCTGGAAATTATGGCCACTGCTTACCCTGAATGAAGCATGATGATGGACCAATGACAATAATTTACTGACTACCAAAAAAGTTATCATTATCTTTAAGATGAAATCTTTAAAGTGCCAAGCTGAGTCATGCCTTGCGAAAGCTGGGTACAGTTCCTATTTCCTGCTGTGAAATAGGTATCACACCTTCCCAGTTTCTGGAAGAGGTGGCAGATAACGTAGCATGAAAAACAGAGGTCCCTTGTCTTGAAACCTGGCTACACCCTCCATATGCAATGACTCAGTAAACCCTTCAGGACTCTTTGTCTTCATTAAAATATAAAAAAATTACAATGAATTTTAAACATAGAAGTAAGTAAAATACAATGATTCACATATAAACCCTTCACTTAGCTTACACATGACTTTGTCTGGTTTTATATTTTTTAGATATAGGGTCTCACACGTTGACTTTGAACTCATAGGTTTAAGCAATCCTCCTACCTCAGTCCTCAGCTAAGACTAAAGGCATGTGCCATTGAGAAACATTAGGAAATGTTTCCCGTATTCATATATTAATATAGTATGTGATGTCTTAAGTAGATTACAAGGAAACCTACAGTGTGTATATGTGGGAGAACATTGGTGGCATCAATAGCAAAGGAGTTTCAAGTGAGGCATGAGGGTATACCCTTGGAATCCTAGTAGTTAGTATTTGGGAAGCTTAAGAAGCTAAATACAAGACCCTCTTTAAAAAGAAAAGTGTGTTCAATACAAGGGTATAGGAAGGATGCCTTCAAACTTGACCTTTTGGCCCATTATCCTTGGTCATACAACATGTGTCCAATGGTTAAATAGTGGCAAATGTTATCCAGTACAACCAACTGATTCCTGAGTGGATTTGAAGCCCACTCCACAGAGGAAATTCACATGTGGCACTAAAAATCCAGTCAAAGACTGTGGTTGGGGAGGTCATAGGTACCACTGGGGAAACCTACTGCTGTTGTTTTGCTAAGTGGACACGATAGGTCTGTCAAATTCCTGTCTAAGCAACTGCATATGCCCACTGGATAGCACTACTGTCAGCTTCAGTCAGAAAGGCTTCTTTCTGCTGTGAGCAGTAGGAACTGCAGAGATCCATAACTGGTCAATGTGATGAGAACAAACAGCTGGTGAAAGCTCCGCCCTAAATGGGACATGTACATCACAAGCACTAAGCCTCAGGGAACATCACTTGAGGAAGAGTTAAAAGGAGGGGGCTAGTATGGGATTGCTAATTTCTTGGTATGATGTGAATATCGCACTCTTGAATTTACAACAACTGTAATTACCTGCACAAGAACGAGCCTCTCAACATCCTGTCATGGAGGCAATTGATGGGATGAGGCCCCACCCCTTCCTGAGGATTTATGGTCAGTTAATGATTGCTTGGGGAGGGAGAGACATCTTGAGTGGTGTAGCTGTTGATAAAATACTCATGCTCCTATAAGCAAACCTAATGGCAATCACTGGGTAATCTAAAGCAAAACCAGAAGGGCAGGAAAGCAGATGGAGGGCTGGGAAGAGGGCTAGTGGGGACCAGGGAAGGTAATGGGGGAGATTTGAATTTGATAGAAATACATTAAACCTATGAACATGTGATAATAAGACCCGCTGTTATGTATATGTATACTCAATATATGCTAATAAAACATTTTGAAAAAAGAAGTGGGGATTAAAAGCATGCCAGCGGGTAGAGAATCAGAATCACTTTAATGCACACCACAATAGGAGTCAGGCCCACATGGCCGACACTATCTCTGTACTGTCTCTCAGAAGCTCTCCTTGTCAGTACCAGGCAATGAAGGCACAGCTCAAACATCCCCAAACTAAATTAATTTTTTTTTTTTTTGAGACAAGGTTTCTCTGTGTAGCTTTGGTGCCTGTCCTGGAACTCACTCTGTAGCCCAGGCTGGCCTCGAACTCACAGAGATCCACCTGCCTGTGCCTCTCGAGTGCTGGGATTAAAGGCGTGCCCACCCCCGCCGGCCTCCCACACTAAGTTTACTGCAATGCCTTTCTGTGTTATATTCTCCTCTGTTTTCTGCAACCAACCGTTTACACAATTTTAAGAGAAAAATAAAAATTTCAACTACAGGGAAAAATGGCTTCAAAAATTTTTTTTCAACACATTCATTTATTTTATGTGGGAGGGGAGTTCACATGCCATGGTGCTTATGTGGCAGTCAAAGGATAACCCAAGGGAATCCAGCTTCCTTTATTCACCATGTGGGTCCTAGGGATTGAACCGAGGCCATTAGGCAAGCACCTCCACCCACCGAGCCATCTCAGTGGCCAGGGAATAATGATTTTTAGATAGTGGAGAAAATGCTCTTTCCCATACTATATCTAAAATTAATAAACTGTCTTATGTATTTATTTAAAGAAATTCATAAACAATTTCTCTAGAATAGTAATCTTCACCTCAAAAGTAATTTTATTTAAAAAGTTACATTTACTCTTCTTATTTTGTATTTTATTCTGTGTGTATATATTTGTACCATGTGCATGCAGTACTTGCAGGAGTCAGAAGAGGAAGATCCCCTGGAATTGGTATTAACAGACAATGTGAGCCACCACGCAGGAGCTGGGAACCAAACTAGGGTCCTCTGCAAGAGCAATATGTGCTCATAATTGCTCAGGCATCTCTCCAGCCCCGAGAAGGCATTTGGCAAGGACAGTGCTATCACCTGGAAGAGTGTCAATCAGACAGAAGCCACAATGCACAGGAAGCATCAGAGCTGTTGACAACCTGCCTGATGCCTATGTTCAATACCCAGCGTCACCACCCCTACTCCCCACAAAAAAAAAAAAAGGGGGTAAGTAAAAAGCAGAATGTGGGTATGATCAAACACAGGAACAGAAGAGAATAAGAAAAAGGTCTGGCCATGTAAGGCAATGGGAAACTCTTTTCCTTTTACTATTTCCTTGAATACTAATACGTATATTTTAAAATTTTATCTATGCTCAAGATTTGAGAGCTATCAGTTGTTTTCTTTAACCGTTTCTTCTGCACAATGAAGGTCACAAGAAAGCAGTCAATCCAAGGTGTATGCATGCACTGCCCATGATAATAGCACAGAATAACACTAGAACAAGCTTTGGGCTAACTGCTATGTTTATAATTGTTAAGTGAATAGCTACGTATCTTGGGATTCTGTGGGAGCCCGTTCTCAGGTTCCTTGTGGCTTTACCTAGCAGGTCTGCATAGAAGATGATTAGGACCACGGGCCTGAGTGCAGGTGTCTGAGAATGGTCTGCACTTGGCTGTGCTGGGGGAGGAGGTCATTTGCTCCACCCCTTGGCGTCTCTATAAATACCCTGGGGCAGAGACAGTCGGGCCGTTGGAAAAGGTTCCAGGCCCTCTAAAGAGGCCATCCTTTATTTTCTATCTGTTTATCTCTGCAAGATTCTCCGCAATACATCCTTCTTTAACTTTTTTTTTTAATTAATTTTTTTCGTTGGTGTTTTGCCATGAGTGTTATCCCCTGGAATGGGACATGAGTGTTATCCCCTGGAATGGGAGTTACAGACAGTTTTGAGCTGCCATGTGGGTGCTGGGAATTGAACCCAGGTCCCCTGGATGAACAGTCAGTGCTCTTAACCTCTGAGCCATCTCTCCAGCCCCGCAATAAATCCTTCTATCTAATATTTCCTGCTGCTCACACTCAAGAAAACTCTGGGGAGCTGTGGGGTTGGTGGGTAAATGCCCCACAGGATTCTTTACTTTCTAATGGGGAAATAAACTGGTTTTCAAATGTTTCTAATATATTTATTTGCAACTCAAGTTTTCTGCTGTGGACATCTAAAAGTCAGAAAAAGAAGCAGCATATTTAGTGAGTCAGTCAGAATCTACACATGGTTTAGTGAATTCTTAGAAGCTGCTTCTTAAATGAGCAACTAATTAATAACTTTATGAAGGACAACTTTCCAAATAGAAATGAACAACAAAAGCATGGAATAAAGTAACTCACCGGGAGTTATTGTAATGAATATTACATGCTCGGGCCATTAGCACCACAATAATTGGTCTAAAGGCTTTTCCTTTGCCATCGAAGTAGTATTCGGACATGTCCTTCAATTCTTTGGTGGAGATGCACAGCTCCTGAAATATAGTTTGTTCATGTTAGCATGGCATTACAGTCACACAGACAGGATTTTTGTTTTCTTCAAAACTTTAGTTTTATTTTAGTGAACCCATTTCAATTGAGAAAATCAACACAAAAATAATGTGTGGCTTTGCCCCAAGTGGTGGTGGTGTCAGTATTAGGGCAGGATTGCCACCTGCCCCATGACAACTAGTGACAGCAGGACAAGGAAAGGAACAGAGGGCTAGGAAGCAACTTGGAAGGCAGAGGACAATGTGAAGTGTGGGAGCCTAGGAAGCAGAGCAGGCGTATCCTGGATAGGGAGTCAGCAGACAAGAAGACAGCTAGGACGGAGTACACATCAGTAAGTCTGTCTGAGCCTAATTTAGCAAAAGATACTCCAAAGGTTCATAGAAGAAATGTAGAGAAGGCATCGGCTGCTTGACTGTGGGAAATTTTCTATTGAGGTGGGGGAGACAATTTATTATCATTATTTGAGTTATGTCCTTGCTGTGAAGCCCTGGATGGCCTGGAATCCAAGACCTTCCTGCTTCTGCCTACCAAGTGCTGGATAATAAGACTGTACCACCACGCCTAATGGAGACAAACAGTTTAAAAATATAGCATATTCCCACATGCAGGCTGGGGCAGACTGCCCTGGGCTCCAGGGAAGAAGTGTGTTCCTGCTCAGTGCCATGACGGACTGAGTGGGACAAAGAGACCCACAAGCAGACCCATCCCTGGCTTTGAGGAGAAACACAGGCAGATGGGACATTGTTATGATGAGCAAATGTACGGTGTGTTATAGGAGAGGGAGGGAGGGGGAGGGGGGGAGAGAGGGGGGGAGAGAGGGAGGAGAGAGAATGGTTCATGTCCTGTGGACAGAGGCATATCTGGGCTGAGGTGGGCGGCTTGATTACCACTAGTGACATGGTGATATCTGGGTCCATGCCTTGGTTCATGGCCCTGGTCTATTGATGTCCTAGGTCTTTGATACCACCAATGGCAGAGAGGACAGGGATGTACAGAGTTGACCCCACCTCTCACTGGCTGCAACACTAGGGACAACTGGTCCTGACCCCCTCCAGCTGAAGCACTCAGGAGAGAGGGCCCTACACCTCACCTGAGCTAACCCTGTTCACAGGGGCATAGGTGAGCTAGCACTGTGGGTATGAGAATGGGAAAGCAGGTCGTGCCCCTCTTGTCTTCCATGTGGCAGCGTTGGTGAGGGAAAGATGTCCTCCTCTCCTTGCCCCTTTACACCTGCAGCAGGTGGGGGACCTGATCCAACCCCTCACCAGCACAGGCCCCTCGCCTCGCCTGGCCAGCACAGCAGAGTTGACCATGTAGACAGGGACGTAGGTGAGCCAGCCCTGAGGGCATGAGGGGGTACAGCTGGTACTGCCTCCCTTGTCTGCAGTGTGGTGGTGGGGTGAAGGAAAGATGCCCTCCCCTCTTCCTCTACCAGCTGCAACACTCGGGAAAGCAGGCTCTACTGACAAGGGTATAGGTGAGCTGGACCTGAAAACAAGAGCGTAGGAGACCTGGCACAGTCCTTCATCTGCCATATGGTGGCATGGGCAGGGAAGAGATGCCCTCCATCAATGCCTAAGGTAGGTTGGAGAACTGGTCCTGCTTCCAACCAGCAGCAACACTGGGGAGAACAGGCCCTGCACCTCGCCAGGGAAAACACAACAGAGCCAACCCTGTTGGTGAAGGTATGGATGAGCCAGCCCTGAAGCTGTAAGCATGGGAGAGCTGTCCCCACTACTCATCGTCATGTGGCAGCAGGGGCAAGGGAGAGGACCACCCCCTTCCACCTCAGGTGGGAGAGCTGTCCCTTTCCTTCATCAGCTGTGGCACTTGGATGAGTGGCCCCTATACCTTAACTGGGCAACACAGTAGAGCTGGCCCAGAAGTGTAGGTGTGGGAGAACCGACTGTGAGGACATGAAAGCAGAACTGGCCCCATCCCTTGCTCATTGCTGCAAGGGGTGAACTAGCCAGGGTAATGCTGGAGAACTCACCCTGGTGGTGAAGACAGGGGAGAGCTGGTGGGCTGACCAACCCTGCAATTACCCAGGCCCAGAACCAGGGTTAAGTGTTGGCCCACTCCAATATCCACCCCATCTGTGATCTGCTGGAGCACAGGTCTGGGTGGGGGTAAGTCTTGTGGACCCAGGGCTGCAGGATCTCCATGACACAAGGCAGCAATGGGATGTCCAGGAAGAGTCCCAGTGAGGGCTCAGTGTCGATAGTGTAGCAGAGACCCTCGATCCACACCAATGATTCTTTGCAATGAATGCCTGCATATAAAGATGTATGGATAAAGGAGCTTACTGAATAACTCACTCTGTCACACTGCAGCTTCCATGATAAGATTTTCCCTTTCTTCCTTTTTTTCTTCTCTTTTTTTTCTTTTTTATCTTAAATTTTTTTATTTTGGGGGGGAAGTTGCAGTGGCAGTGGGCGGATGATACGAGGGGATGGAAGATGGGTGGGATGGGGTGCATGTTGTGAAAGACACAAAGAATAAATAAAAAAGAAAGTTAAAAAAATGTTTGGATACCAGCTTTTGCCAACAGGACATGTTTATGATACACCATCATATTTTACTATTTTACCTTTTATGAGATGGTATGCTTTGAGCTCCTTCTGGACTTAAAATGAGAAGGAGAAGGGATAATTGATCCTTCCCAGCAATGCAACAAAATGTGCTTTATATGGCTTTATTTTGAAATCTTTAAATATATGATTATGAAGTAAAAGAAATATATAGGATATTTTTAAAGTCCCAAAGAAATTAGGAATAGAAGGAACATACATCAATATAATGTTTATAAAACAGAAATAGTCACTAACATTACTCAAATAGGGAAAAAAAACCTCAAAAACGATTCTTCTAAAGGCAGAAGAGACAAAGGTATTCACTTTCCTCATCCTTATTCAACACAGTGCTTGAAGTCTTAGCTAGATAAGATGAGAAAAATAAAAGGGACACAAATTGAAAAGAAAAAAGCTAAATTATCCCTATAGTTCACATGATCCTATATACAAGACCCTTAAGACAACTCAGAAATGATAAAACACTTTCAACACAGTAATAAACCTGACCAAAGAAGGAAAAGACCTCTACAGTGAAAGTTTTGTAGTAATAAGATAGACACTGGAAGATGGAAGAATCATTCATGGATAGTGAAAATGGCTATATATGAAAAGCTATCTATAGATTCAAAGCACTTGTGCTCAAAATTCTAATGACATTCATTTTTAGAATTATATTGGTTTATGTATTTAATGAGTACTGTGCATGCACATGCATGCCATAATAAATGTACAGCTAGAGGACAGCCTGTAGGAGTTGGTTTTCTCCTTCCACCAAGTAGTTCCTGGGGGAATCCAACAAGTCAGGTTGCCAAGCTTGGCTGCAAGTGCCCTAACCCACTGGTCCTCTAATGACATTTTTAATGGAAGTAGAAAAACAACCTTAAAATTCATACATAAGCACAAAAGATCTCAGAGAGTCAAAGCAATCCTGAGTCAAGAACAATGATCTCAAATTACACAACAGAGCCATAGTAACAAATCACGGCACTTGGCACAAAAATAGATACTTAGATAAGTGGAATAGAATAAAGAATCCAGAATCAAACCCAAAATGCTACAGATACCTAATTTTTAACAAAAATGCCCAAAACACATATTGGAAAATAAAAACCCCTTCAACAAATAGTGCTGGGACAATGGACATATATGTGTAGAAGGATAAAACTAGATCCCTGATTTTTACTCCCCACAAAAGTCAACCAATGGATCAAACATCTTAACGTAAAACCTGAAACTGCAAAACTGAAAATATACAGAAAACACTTCAAGACACAAACAGAGGGAATGCTGGAAATAGAAAATCTGAGTAAACGATTGGGAACTTCAGATGCAAGTATAATCAACAGAATGCAAGAGATGGAAGAGAGGATCTCTAGCGTTGAAGATACAGTAGAAGAAATACATTCATCAGTCAAAGATACAGACATAATCAAAGACTCTCGTTAGGACTTGTTACTTGGAAAATGATATCAAGAACTGACATACGGGATTGCATCAAATTAAAAAGCTGCACACCATAGGAAACAAATGAGTGAAAAGACAGCCTACAGAATGGGAGGAAAGTTCACTAGCTATAGATCTGACAGAGGATTAATATGCAGCACATATAAAGAACTCAAAATATCAAATACCCAGACAACGCAAATGAATACACAGACTACAAAGGGCCAAAAATATATGAAAAAGAATTCAACATCCTTAGCTCTCAGGGAAATGCAAACTAAAACTGCTTTGAGGTTCTACCCCACCCTAGTCAGAATAGCTAACAAATAACAAATGCTTGTGAGGATGTGTGTTTGTATGCATAATCCACACACTGTTGGTAGGAATGTAAAGTGGTCTAACTACTATGGAAATTAGTATGAAAGTACCCCCCAAAACAAACAAACAAACAAACAAACAATGTACAAGTCAAACTTCCATGTGATCCAGTCATAGGACTCCTGGGTATATACCTGAAGAACTCTAAGTCAACATACAAAGGTAATTTATGTCCATGTTACTGCAGCACCATTCACAACAGTCAAGTTATGGAACTAGGCTTTGTGTCCATCAAGAGAAGAACGAACCAAGGGAAGGTGGTATACATATACTATGGAGTTCTATTCAGCCTTAAAGAATGAAATTATGTCATTTGGTAGAACATAGATACAACTGTGATCACCTTATGAAGTGAAATAAACCAGATTCAGAAAGACAAAGATCATGTTTTCTCTCATGTGGATCCTAATTTTTAAAAAATAAACACATGAAACTATTTAGAACAGCAGGAAGAAGGAAGAGAAAGGAGAAAGGAATAAAATGAATACGGCCAAAATTAATGATGTATTTGGAAAAAGAATATATAAAATTTTGGGGGAGACAGCAGAGCTAAGTGGAAGGGGGAAGACAAGTAAAGATATGAGCAATGCAGATTATACACATGTATGAAATATAATAATGCCAATTTTTTTTACAAACTATTCAATAAAACATAGGGATGAAAATAAGTTGTATATGATGATGCATGCTTATAACTCTATAATTCTAACCCTTGGGAGGCTGAAGAAGGATGGCTATGAGTTCAAGGACAAGCAAGACCCTGCCTCAAAACAAAAACAAAAACAAAATAAATAAAGATTGATTCAGTGGGTAACACATTGGTAATTTATCAAAAGTCTAGAAAAAGGAAGAGATTAGTGTAGGGTAGAAAATGTGAATATTGCATGGAGATGAGCATCAAGAAACATTGTCTGAGTTTGATTTGTGAAGAACAGAGAGGGCTCTCCATAGTTGTGTACTTGTTATATTTGCCACTCAAGGAACATACACCTTTAATCAGAGCCACACCAAACTAAGGAACATAATTACTAATTTGCTAGTGCAGAGATAAAGGCACAGTCACAAAGACAAGCACAACAACCCTTGCTCACAAGGAGCCCAGAGTCTAGATAGGGATGAGCAGATCACTAACTACAGTTAATATGCTACAGTATAATGGGTAGCATCACCCAAGGTAAAGAAAGCTACTCTGGGAGCACAAGGAAAGGTTAGCTCAGGCTAAGGGGAGATTAAAAGGGAAAGAGAAGGGAGGCGATGGAGTGGCCTGGAGCCTGATGGGGTCTGAAGGCAAGACATAGACTAAAAGGTCATAGAAGGAAAGGATAAGAAGGCTCCAAGGATTCTTCTGATCCCTCCCATAATCGGGATATCAGGAGCAAAAAAACCGAACTACATATGGGATGAGAAAAGCATTCTAGACATACTAAGTTAGACACAGTCATGGATACTTCATGGAGTAATCTGCTAAGTAGTTAGCTATATACGTTTAGAAGAGACAATTCAACCTGGAGTAGAGATATTTGGGGGATTAAAAATGGAAATGAAAATATAGAGAATATGAGGGCGTGTGTGTGCGTGTGTGTGTGTGTGTGTGTGTGTGTGTGTGTGTGTGTGTGTGTGAGAATTCCAAACAACAGCACAGTTAAAGGGGTCAAGGTAGAAGAGATAAAAGAGGAACACACAAATAAACTGAGGATGGCCTAAAGACTGAGTGACTCAGGAAAACGTGGAAGCTAAAGGAACAGTTTCTTTCCAGGAAGGAAAATGGTAACTAGTGTCCAATGCTGAAGTACGTTAAGGCAGAAGAAAGCAGAAAAGTATCCACTGCACCCAGTAAGAGGAAGCTCCCATGACCTGGAAAGGAAGACACAGGCAGTGGTGGGGCAATGCGAAGGGGCAAGAGTGAACCAGAGGGTTCAGAATACTATGATGGAAAGGAAGGAGGCAGACACAAGGTTAGGGTAGTCCTGAAAAGGAGAATGGGCTGGGTATGGCAGGACATGTCAATAATCCCAGCATTTTGGGGCAGGAGGATGGTGAGTCTAAGGCCATCTTGATACAGAGAGGAAGGTAAAGGTCTGCTGAGTGGTGTCATAGTGACAGCTTACCTTAATTAAATAAGTAAGCAAACAAAAGACGAAAGCCAGTGGTAGTACACTTCTCTAATCCGAGCATTCAGAAGGCAGAGGCAAGAGGGTCACGATTTCAAGGCCAGTTTGGACTACACAGTGAGTCTCTGTCTCAAAAGGAAAAACTACTCTAGGCCTTGGGATACAGTTCAGTGGTAGAATATTTGCCTAGCACGTACAAAGTTCTCCATGACACTGCTATACTGTTGTAAGGCATTAGGCTAGAATCTTTGAGAAAAGATGATAAATGATGTATGAACATTTTGGAGCAGGATTTTATTCATTTATTTTTTTAAATTTGTGTATGCACACCAGACAACAACTTTGGGTGTCATTCACCTTTCCATTTTTGAGACAGAGTCTCTTACTAGCCTGGAGCACACCAAGCAGGATAGGCTGGCTGCCCAGTGAGTCCCAAGGATATAGCTATCTCCATTCCATCACTACGATGACAAATGGGTGCCACTACGCCCAGCTTTTTTATGTGGTGTGGGGGCTCAAACCCAGGTCCTTATGCTTGCAGCCACCTCTGCAGCCCTACTTGAACATTCTCTTTCACTGCATATTTCACACCAGTGTTATCAGCCTGTGGACAGAGGCTAGGCAATGGACTAAGGTCATGGTTTGCTCTGGCATCCGACATAATGAGAGGCCCAGGAGGATAGGCTTGCCATAATCCAATTCACACACTGAAAAGGGTCAGAAAATCCACATGATATTTCACATGATGAGTTGAATGAAGAAAGTCATATTTGGAGTAGCTTAGCAATGGCATTCAGAATTAGATACTGCAGTCATCGAAGTCACATACACATAAAGAAGGAAGGTTAAATGGCTCACTGAATAAGCACGTGTTTCCTGTACCTATTTTCTTAAGTTCTCCAACTCTGCAATAACATCTTTCTACACAGTAACATGGACTGCACCCTCTATACTGCCCAGCACCAGGCTGCACAGAGTTGTTGCTGAGGTAACATTTGAAACCTGATATATGCAAACTGAGTGGTCAATGGCATAATTTTTTTTTTCATTTGCTTGTTATTTGATATAGGGTCTCATACAGAAGAAGCCTAGTCTAGCTTGGAACTCACTATGTTACCCTGACTAAAACTGAACTTGCAGTGATCCTCCTGCCTCAGCTTCCCAAGTGCTGTGATTACAAGTGTGAGCCGCCATGAAATGGCTATATGGTTTGCTTGTAATTCTAAAATGTTACTAGGTTTCAGTAACATAAAACACTTACCTTTCTAATGTCTTCATACAGACCTTTCAAGTCTCTCCAGCCCAGTTTAAAAGGATCAGCATATTTCTCACCACTCTGTATTTGACTACAACAGCACACTGCTGGTGTCCTTTGATGAAACCTGAGGTGAGTGAAAATGCACATGGCTCCATTTTTAAGTATTATACACACATGCATATTAATACGGTGGACTTGCTAGAAGAAATCAGACATGAATCTGAAAAGGTCATCATAATTTAGAAACACAGAATTCTCATCTTGCTAAACAATACATTAATAGGTCATTTTAATGAACAGGACCTCGAGAGCCAACAGAGAAAGACTACATTATGTTCACTGTATTCTGAGTAGAACTCAAATTTTACTATATTCATTATTTTTTGAAATGGCAGAGATCATATAAAGCAAACTGTCATGGCTTTTACTTAAACATATTAATCTGTTGGCTAAGAAAAATTAGAAGTTTCCTAGCAGTGATGCTCTTTGTAGCTCTAATACGAATTATAAACTTACTGTGATATACTATGCACATTTGGGAAGGCAGGTGTTAAAGTCTTCACTAGGCTAAAATAGGGCATCTGTAAAACAAAAGCATAAAAAATGATAAGAATATTCCTCTAAAACGTGTTCATAACAACTATTCCCATAACTCACAACAACTGTGACCGTTTAGTCAGCCATTTCTAAGAGGCTGTAAGCCTTAAGAGAAAAAGGGCAGTTAGAAGTTCCCTTCCTGGATTACGAAGGTAATACATGTCCTAGCAGAACACAGGAATCAGACGAAAGCAGGATTCAGTCCTGGTGTTGCAGGAGGATCTCAAGTTCAAGGTTGGTCTGGACAACAGTGAGTTCAAGGTCGTCCTGAGCAACTTTTAGTGAGAGCCTATCCAAAAAAAAAAAAAGAGCTAGGGAATGCTCAGTAGAAGAATAGTTAGCTAGTTCTCAAGAGGCTGTAGGCTAATGCCCAGCACTGACAAAACAAAACAAAAAGCAGAAAATAAAAACCTCTGTAACAAAACATCCATTCTTCTAAAAGCTGGGTCCCTATCTATTCCTAAAGCAGAAGAGTAGCAGCAAAACAAGTCCTTCCGTTTAACTACGCCTGGTTACAGAACAGGGAAAACTGGAGTATCTTTTAAATTCTCAAAACACACAGATGCCAAAAGCTAATGGGGGATGGTTAGGAAAAGATTTTAACATTAAGGAAGGAATTGACATTTACACAAAAGCTGCCTATGTTAAGTTATTGTTATTACACATATTTGGACATCGTGCTTCTGGGCAAGTGATGTTTAATAAACAAACGGACTGGAGTACAGCCCAATGGCAGAATATGTATTTTGCACAACACAGACAAACCACCACCAACCTCAGGGACATTTTGATAATATAATCAAAGATCCAACAATCACCTGGGCATAGAAGGGTACACCTGGAAACCAAGCACTTGGAGGCCAGGGGAGCATGTGGACCACAAGTTCAAGGTCAGCCTGGGATAGTTAGAAAGACTCAGAGAGAATATCAAAGAATTATAGTAGACCACCTCTAAACAATTCAGAGATGGTAACAAATACTGAGTCTAACATTATCATTATTCTTTAAAGATTTTTTTGAGATTTATTTTTACCTTATGTGTGTGAGTGTTTAGTCTGCATATATGTATTACAGTTTACAATATCCCCTATAGGGATATAATAAATTTGTGCCACAGGCATAGGAACATCTGATGTTGGTATTTCCCAACAAATAAATGCCTGAGGACTTCCTCAATTTCCAGAGAATAGTTAGGGTAAATGACGTTCCCATACCTCAGACTTTGTTTTTCTGAAGACAAAGGTTATGCTTTATATAACCCTGAACATGCTGGGCTGTGAAGCAGGCTTCTCTTACTCCTAACTGTTATCAAAGGAGCTACGATAATAAAAATGAACCTTGTTATGCACATTACATTCAAGTGCTCAGCTGCCTTGAGTTCCCTGGTTTCCCACTTTGGTTCTCCTGGAATTAATCAGAGGCAACGTGGCCAACTTCTCCCAGTGTGTCTATGTACCACATAGGTGCAGTGCTGAGGAGGCCAGAAGAGGGTGTTGGAAGTCCTTGGAGCCCTTTGGAACTGGAGTTACAGGCCACGTAGATGCTGGGAATTGAACCCAGGCCCTTTGGAATAGTGGTCAGTGCTCTTAAGCACTGAGCCATCTCTCTAGCCCCATATATTACTATTCTTAATGACAGGATAAAAGCATTTAAAAAACTATTAACTATTTACAAATCTAATCTGGTAAAGGCTTTTATATAAAGTGTGTGAAGAAAGCTTCTTGACAAAAAGAATGAATGTGAAAATAAAACATGTGTGTTTCTTAAAGTCTTATGTTTTAAAGCCATTTCCCCCCCAGAGCCTCACAACTACTGTTTTGTTTATTTCGAGACAGGGTCTCACTATCTATCCCAGGCTGGCCTTGAACTCACAGGGTTGCTGAGATTAAAGGCATACCCACACCTGGCCACAACCACCTTTTTAAAGTTACATTTATTCATATACTTTGTGTGTAAATCTGTGTGTGCATATGCACATGCCGTGGCAGATGTGTGGAGGTCAGAAGACAACTTGAGGGAGTAAGTTCTCTCCTTCTACCACGAGGGTCAAACTCAAGGGGTCAGGCTTGGCAACTGAACACCTTTACCCAGAGTTACCGAACCAGCCCACTTATTTTTAAAGTTAGAAAACTTAGATTCCAGAGAAGTCAAGCCCGAAGAACTGACTTACAAGCATGACTACAGTTATAAGCAAGAAGTAACCTCAGAACTGTATGCACTGTCATCGCATCAAAAACCTCTACGTAAGCACAGACACAGAACAGGGTTTAGAAACATGTGGTAAAGCAGTTATTTTGAACCAAACAAGGTTGTGTGTATGTGTGTTGTGTGTGTGGGTCTTACTTTGGTTACTTATTTTTGGTATTATTTTCTGATTTTGCTTGAATGAAATATCTTGCCTTACCTATATTAAAAGAACAGAAAATGCTGACTTAGCCAAGCAGTAGCCAAGAAAACTGAGGTCTGTTGTTTCCACTACAGCATTCTAGCTATTCATTATATCTAAGTCATGAAGAGTATTTATGACCTACAGGTAACTGTAATGTCCCCAAAACACAGCAATAGTTCTCTCCCTTGATTTCATCATTATAGAACAGCCCACACCGCCCCCCCCCCCTTCTGGGATAGAGGTTTTGATATGCTGCACAAGCTGGTTATGTGCTATATGCAGCACAAGCATCATTCTGCCTAGAGAGTGACATCTTGATGGCAGAGTTACAACTATTCAGTTTAAGACCTAAAGACATTCCTCTAAACTGGTATAAAACATTAAAATTGCATGATTAATGCATGGTATCCTTTGCCAATAGGTAGCTTAAAGACTGTTAGTTGTATAGTCTTTAGAGAACAGAGCTTGGTGCAAATAACAAAAATTTCTGGCTGGGTCACTTTGTGACATCTTTCTATTCACAATTACTCACAGAAAGATGCTGAATCTTAGAGAGTAGAGTATTGTAAACTACTCAGCTGGGAATACAATATACAGCATACATTTGTTTTTATTTACTTTGCCGTACTGGGGCTCAACCCAGAACTTTGTCAATGTAAGACAAATGTTCTACTGTAAATGAATGTTTCCTGTCCCGACCACCTGGTCCCAAATAACCAACTCAGAGGCTGAATATGAATTATAAATACTCAGGCTTATTACTAGCTAGCTCTTACATTTTAAGTTAACCCATATTCCTTATTTACTCTCTGCCACATGTCGGCACCTTTATTAGCATGGCACATTCATCTCCTGCTCCATCTGCATCTGGCTGGAGACTCCTGACTCCATCCTCCTCCTTCCCATCATTCTCAGTTTGGCTTTCCCACCTAACTTCCTGCCCAGCTACAAACTGTCAGCTTTTTACTAACCAATGAGAGTAATACATACTCATAGTCTAGAAAAGGATTGTTCCACAGTAATACATACTCAACAGTGTAGAAAGGATTGTCCCTACCACTGAACTACAACTCTCAGCTCCACAGAAAAATTTCAGATAGTATTTATTCAATTACTCCCTCAGCTCCACAGCAAAGATTTAAGACAGTATCTGTTCAATCAAATTGTATTCTGTATTCTACTCAGAGCTACCTCAGGGCAGCATTTCCACAGGGAGATAATCATAGTATTTATTAAAATGAGGCTGTGCAACCAGTTCTGTGGCTCACTGATGGTATCAGTGGAAACAAATTTTTCTTTTCCGATTCTATTCCCTCTTTTCTATCACTCTCTTTGAAAGTCAACTCTGTCCGTTAGGATCTACTTTTTTTTTTTAAAGGTCTCATACATCCCAGCTTGGCACTGAACTCACCAGGTAGTCAAGGATTACCTTGAACTCCTGATTCTTCCACCTATCTGCCAAGTGCTGGCATTACAGGCCTAGCTAAGAATTAACTTTAAAATAAGAGAACATGTTCAATATGAATCAAAGACATGGTCACTCAGGTCTGAAATCCCGGCACTGAACTAGGGTGGAGAGCTAAAGTTGGCTTAATTATTGTTGCTCTTTGTTAAGGTCTGTAGTCCTTGAGTGATCAGAAGTAACTAGAGCATTCATGCCTGAAGGAGACAGCTAAATTCTCAAATACTTGTAGTGGAAAATATTAACACATGAATATGTTGGCATCATCAGTTAGGCTCTCCTTTTGCTCAAGGAGACAGATAGGGAAGCGAATGACAGATTCTTTCCAGAAAAGCACCCTTCCATGGATGAGGTTTCCTGAGATGAGGTTTCCTGATGAGCCTCTCTCTCTCTCTCTCTCTCTCTCTCTCTCTCTCTCTCTCTCTCTCTCTCTCTCTCTCTGAAACAGCTAAGATCCAGTGGCATCTTGTGGTGGATGCCACTCTTCAAAACATGTCTGCATCTATGGCGATCAAAACCAAGACCCAAACTCTCCCTATATGCCCTCTTTCTCTTATATATCATCCTTTCTATTTAAACCGGTTTGCATTTTTCTCGCCAAATTCTTTTTTGGATAATTTGTTATATGCATCCACTTTGGTACAAAGCAGGCATTTATAAATGCTACATATTTCATATTGGTAGTGTTTGATAAACATATTGACAAATGAAGCATAACAGATCTTACTAAAATCACAAGCCCGAATTTAAGGGGTGGGTTCTTTGCTGTGCGGCTGGAATGGTCTCCAAAACCCAAATTGGAAAAAAAAAAACCTAACTTCAAAAGTCAGTCTGAGGATGTTGCCCGGTAATGCCAATGGCACGGGCTGACCGCACTCACACAGAACCAGAGAGCCATTTACAGCGCTATTCTGACCGGGACAAAAAGTGAAAACTGGGGCCAAATGCAGTAGGGGAGGATTTCAAGGAATCACTCTTAGACTGAGAGAATGATTTTACGTCAACGAAGTCATAGGTCTCTCCTGCCACCCTCCGGCTCCTCCGGCTCCTCCGTCTCCTTCTAAGTGTCCTTCCAGCGCCTATCAGGTGTGCTTTGCCTCCTAAGCACCTGCAGCACTGAAGTGAGGTCCACCCCAGTTAGCATCAGCCTTTCGTCGTCTCACACCCTTTCCGAATTCTGAGGCTAACTGGATCCGACATCCGAAATTGCGAGCAGAGGTCCCCTTGGCTCTGGTCGTCTTTGCGGGAGGAACTGCGTCGTCCCGACACACCCTGGTCTCTGTGATTAACAGGGCTGCGCCCCGCCGTTCCCCCTACCTCAGCCCCAGTGTCCCCTGGGTGCCCGGGCAGCTGCTCCGCACTTCGGGCCCCGCGACTAGTCCCGCTCCCCCGGCATCCCTCCCAGGGGACACAGCGGCCCAGGCCCCGGTGCACGTGCGCATCCTCCCATTCATTCGGTCGCCGGCTGTCATTGGCACGGTGACCTCTACGCCACGGGCAGCGCGCACGTCCCGGCCTCACCTGCGCGCGGGTGTCCGAGGCGGCGCGCGTCCCGAGCGGCCCCGCACAGCCAGGGCGTTCCGGCCGCGGGCTCCCGGCCGCCCGCCTCCAGGAGCAGACCCGCCGCCAGCACCACCAGCGCGTAGCCATAGTGCGAGTCTGAAAGTCGCGGCGGGCGGTGGCTCCGCCTCTGCCCCAGGCCCGGACCCGGAGCCGGAAGCTGGGTACCGGAAGCCTGCGGCCGCACCTTTCTCCCGTCTAGTCCCGCTGCGCGGTCGCCCGCTCGCCTGGACTCTTCTCAAAGCTGCTCGCTTTGGCCCGTAGCCGCGTCCGCTTTTAACTAGAAATGTGCGTCCGAATTGTTGTCCTACGCGCAACAAAGTGTGCAGAAATCGGGTTCCGGTCCCGGCTCACCCCGAGGCTATGGTTTCCGCAGCACTCGTGGTGAGCCAGGGGACTTGCCAAGTTCCCAGTCAACTTTTGCACTCCGTCTCGGAGGTGCCAACTTTGTGTAATTAATCTACCTTGAGGGTTATTGTGAAACAAGCTAAGTTGGCCTCCTGCTTCGGCCTTTGGACTCTTCTGAAAGCCTTAGCGAGATGTATAGTTTGACAGTTTTGTTCACACCTGGATATGTGAGACCCACTCTTGGGTGTAATGAAAAAGGGTTTTGTTGTTGTTTGTTTTTAATACAGGCTCGCCGTGTAGACCACATTGGATAGGCTTCATGTAGATCAGGTTGGGTTCAGACTCACCATCCTTCTGCCTCAGCCTTATGGTGCTGAGGTTAACAACACTCCCCGCCATGTCCAACACTTTCATGGAATGATTATACATGCTCATAATTATCCCCCACACGGGAGTCAATGAGAGGCAATGCAAACACCAAGGGAACTGAAGAAACTTTCTGTGTCCCCATGTTGACTCCTAGGAAGAAATAAACCAGTTGCACTTTTCTGAATTATATTTTTTTTCTTGTTTTGTGCCACACTTAAAGAATGTCAACCCTAAAGTTGAGCACATTATTTTCATATTAAGTTTCTGTTTAAAATGAGGTTATACACATATGAAATTGTCAAAGAAAAAGAAAAAAGTTGACTGTCTAGAAGTAGTACAGTGTTTTCCCAGCACGCACACAACCTGGATTCCCTCCCAACACCACAAAATGAATGAATGAATGAGTGAGTGAATGAATGAGTGAGTGAGTGAATTAAATAATCCAATAGGTAGATTTTGTCAAGATAAGAGTGTGGCAATACTGCCGGGTGGTGCACGCCTTTAATCCAAGCACTCGGGAGGAAGAGGCAGGGGGATCTCTGTGAGTTCGAGGCCAGCCTGATCTACAGCGCGAGACCCAGGACAGGCACCAAAGCTACACAGAGAAACCCTGTCTCGAAAAACCAAAACCAAAACCAAAAAAAAAAAAAGGGTGGTGGTGGTGGTTGCAATAAAGAGACCCTTAGCCAAACATTAGGCAGAGCTCTGGGAATCCTGCAGAAGAGGGCGAGTAAGGATTGTAGGAGCCAGAGGGGTCAAGACACCACAAGAAAACTGCCCACAGAATCAACTAACCAGCTGTTGTTTGTTTTTGCTCTTTTTTGGGGGCCCGCCACCCAGCTCCCAAATAAATCGCACACGGAGTCTTATTATTACTTATGAATGCCCGGCCTTAGCTTGACTTAGTTTCTAGCCAGCTTTCCTTGTCTTAAATTATCCTGTCTACCTTTTGCCTCTGGGCTTTTCCCAATCTCTTCTGTAAATCTTACTCTTACTCTGTGGCTTGCTGTGTAACTGGATGGCTGGCCCCTAGATTCCTCCTCCTTTTCTGGCTCCTAGATCTTAGATCTCTCTTCCCAGTTTTCTCCTTCTGTTGATTCTCTCTGCCTGCCAGCCCCGCCTATCCTTTCTCCTGCCTTGCTATTGGCCAGTTCTTTATTAGGCCATCAGGCACAGTAACACAGCTTCACAGCGTTGAACAAATGCAACATAAACAAAAGTAACACACTTTAAAATATTCTACTACAACCAGTACTCTTAGGGGCTCACAGAGACTCAATCACAGAGCCTGCCTGGGTCTGACCTACATCCTCTGCATATATGTTATGGTTGTGTAGTTTGGTGTTCCTGTGGGACTCCCAACAGTGGGGGAGAGGAGGAGAGGGGCGGTCTCTGACTCTTTTGTCTACTTTTGGGAACTGGTTCCTCCTAGTAGGTTGCCTAGTCCAGCCTTAATATGAGTGAATGTGACTAGTTTTATTATAACTTGATATGCCATGTTTCGGTGATATCCCTGGGAGGCCTGCCCTTGTCTGAAGGGAAAGGAGGAGGAGTGGATCTGGGAGAGAAGGTAAGTGTGTGTGTGTGTGGGGGGGGGGGGGGGGGGCGTGAGAGGAGAGGAAGGAGGAGAAACCACAGTCAGGATGCAATACAGGAGAGAAGAATAAATTTAAAAAAAAATGTAGCAATAAACACTTTCATTGATATTTTGACAATGCTCTAACCAGTAGTATATTGTTATTGACCATTTCTTTTTCCATTAGGGAAACAGGAAGAAAGCCACAGGAGGAAGGATAGCAATCCATAATTCTACCGGGCATTTTTCATGTAGAGATTAGTTCGCCAGATTAAAAGAAAAGCCCTGGCTTGTAAAAAGTTGTGATATAAGTGAAAGAGCACTTCCCTAGTTTGGGCAAGGTCCGGGGTTGGATCCTCAGCCCTAATACAAACACAGACTCTCACAAAGTTGTGGTATGAGAGATGCAAAATTAACTAGGGAATAGAGGCGAAGTCATTTAAGGCCTCTGACACTATTGTGTAACTAAACTCTAACAATTAATAATCTACCAATAGGACATGCAGAATTCATAGAAGATTCCTTTGACCCAACTAGGCCAGGCAGGAGAGGGTAGTAGATCCTGGAGCAGGTGTTTGGGAGCCATAGGACACAGGTGCTGTGATCTGAATTGGGGTCTATAACATATAAACCTAACATGAAATATGAAAATAATGTGTTTAGCTTTAGTGCTAACAGTTTTAAATGCAAGTGTGGTGCAGAACAAGAAAAAATAGGATTCACAAATTTGCAGACGGTATATTTCTTCCTAAAAGCCAGCGTTTGGGGGACATAGTAAGTTTCTTGAGCATTCCTAGGCTTGTATTGACTATAATTGACTCCTTATGTTTGTAGGATTGTGGGGTCTTGTGCACAATCTAGAAACAACTTTGACCTTTTGTCAGTGCACTTGTACAAACAACCAGTACCGTCGGGGAAAAATGAGTGCAATATGTGATGAAAATATTTTCAAAATTGTCATTTTTAGTTTTGGAGGGTTGGTTATACTTCTAGACATTTTGTTGTCATATTGACGATAGTGCTGAAGTATGCTGGTAGGTCTGATAGCCAAAGAAAGATTATAAACATAATACTACATAACATTACATATATGTCTTGGTTCAAGCATTCCATGAAACATTCAAGTGTTATTAGGTAAAAGATCAATGAATTATCAACATCCCTCTGCCTAAAAAATGCTAATGCCTCACTTCTGATGTCATTTTTGCATTCATGTACACAGAGATATAATGGAATGACTTGAAATACATTAAAATGTTAGCATGATCTATTTTAATGGTACATATTTTCATCTGCTTACTTTTCTTCATATATATATATATATATATATATATATATATATATATATATATTTACAATAAATGTACTCCTTAGTGGAAGTAGGAAACATTTTTAAATGAATGTAGTATTTGCTTATATTTAAATTATGTTCATTTTTCTGGGACAAGGTCAGACTGGCCTGGAACTTGGAACTCCTGATTCAACTTCTCTAGTGCTTGGACTGCAGATATGCGTCACTACTCCTCTCTTGTATAACTTTTTTAAAAAGGAAATTGTTATTATTTTAATTATGTGTGTGTGTGTGTGTGTGTGTGTGTGTGTGTGTGTGCACATGAGTGCAGGTGCCCAGCAGGCTGGAAGCACTGGAGGTCCTGGGCCTGAAATTACATGCAGGTGTAAACTACCCAACAAGTAACCAGACTCAAGTCCTATGTAAGAACACTGAGTCCTCTTCACCACTGAGCTGTCTTCCAAGACCCTCTTGCATTACTTTTGAAGCATAGTCATAATGTGGATGTTTTCCAGTATTTACATATAATGGAAAAAAGGAGAAAGTTCTCCTTTTTAAAGTTTCTTTCTTTTGACACTTCTATTTAAAATTGTATTTAAAAATTTTGTTCAATATATTTTTATCATATTCTTTCCTCTACCCCAACTTCTCCCAGATCTTCCCCACCTCCCTACTCACTCAACTTCGTGTTTTTCTTTCTCTCTCCAAAATAAAAAGCCAAGAAAAACAACAAAACCCATGAAAATTAAAACAGACAAACAGAAAAAATAAAACAAAATAAATAAGACACAAATGTCTGCTATGGGATGTCTTTCTGTATGCTATGAATATATATTGCCCCCATTGGTTAATAAATAAAGCTGCATTGGCCTATGGCAGGGCAGGATGGAGCCTGGCAGGAAATCCAAGAGAGATAGAGAGAAGAAAGATGGAGATGGGGGAGACACTCTGAGCTGCCACCAGGAGAGGCAAGATGCGAGAGAACAGGTAATGCCACAAAGCCACATGGCAAAATATAGATTAATAGGAATGGGTTGAGTTAAGTTGTAAGAGCTAGCTAGCAAGAAGCCTGAGTCATAGACCAAATAGTTTGTAATTAATATCAAACCTCTGAATGATTATTTCATAAGCTGCTGCGGGCTAGGTGGGACACAGGAAAAATTCTGGCTACAAATGTCAGCAGATATCAATTACAAATAGCTTATTGGTTAGGGGTGGGACTCTGTCCACTTCCCCTTCTCAATGCCGAGAGCTGGTCTGGTTTGAACGTGGGCAGGTCTTAGGCATGCTGACACAGTCTCTGTGAGCTCACATGTGCCTCAGTCCTGTTTTGTCTGGAAGATGCTGCTTCCTTGGAGTCATCTACCACCTCTGACTCTTAAAATCTTTGTACCTCCTCTTCTACATAGATCCCTTAGTCTTGAGGGAAGGGATGTGATAAAGACACCCCACTTAAGACTGAGAGCTCCAAAGTCTCTCACTCTCTGCACATTGTCCAGCTGTGAATCTCTGTGCCACCTACTGTAAGAAGAAGTTTCTGTGATGAGGACTGAGCAAGGCACTGATCTATGGGTACAGCAGTGTGTCATTGGAAATCATTTTGTTGCTATGTTCCTTTAGCAGAATTACAGTAGATTCATGGTTTATCTAGACCAGCTAGCAGTGTCAAGTGTGAGTTCTGTCTCATGGGATGGA